TACACATGAGTGAAGAAAATCTTAGTTAGTAGACAAAAAGTGCCACTCTCTCTTTCAACGGGGGAAAGGGGGGGGGGGTAATTAAAAATTCGTGAGAAATAGATAACTACGATTTAGTAGCATCTTTTTGAAATCTTATCAAGAACAACTAAGCGATTATAAGTCATATTTATACGTAAACAACTTCAGATATTGTAGGACCAAGGGTTTTTTCTTAATTATGACCCCCGGAGAGCTTGTAGGAGGCACAACACAGGGTCATTTTTTTTTACATTAGAATATACATGTATATACATGTATAAGAATCATATCAAATTGAAAAAAATATCCGGCTCAAGAACAACAAAGCCATCATTTGTCATTATTACAGAAGTATTCTCAGGTATTGTAGATTCATATTTGTTCAATTTTTTCAAATTTAGATTGGGTATGGTATAGTGGGGGCCACAATGAGCGATAAGAATATGAATACATTTGAAAAAAAATCTTTATGTTTCAAGAACAAGAACAGCAAAGCCATGATAAGTAATAAATATTGATATATCCTGGTGAGCTTGAGATAAAAGATACCAAAGAATCTGAAACATCTGTTTCATATTTGGATATTTTATTTGAAAATAGACCTTAGATCTAATGTAAATCTAACAACCACGCTTAATGATAAATGTGATGAATTTAAGTTTTTTATCGTCAACTTCCCTTGTATCATGGCTGCGGTGTTTTTCCTTTGAAGTCAAGTGTACAATAACTGGAGATACACTGATGGGCGGAGCCAGCAAAAACTGTGCCGTGTAAATAAATTATTGAACACCAAGGCGATTTCATCATTTTAAATTACATGTATATTGAATCTGAATTACAGAATGAATGGGCTTTGTAATATACAAATGCAAAATTTCTGCAAGTGAAATAAAAGTACTAGTATTTCACATAAATTACAGTACGTATATATCCCAAACTACGAAATGATTTTACGGAGCTCTTCAAATATTCAATCCACAGCAACGAGAAATCAAATTCTTGACATGAATTCCACATAGAAATATATTAAATATCCCCCTATTGTTATATATGCTTAAGCTGCACTGCATCCACAGATGAAGAGTAATTGACCCTGACACAGCGTTTTCGTGAATACGACAGCTCTAGAATATGTCAAATGATCAACGAGTATCTTTTTTTCTTGATTTTCGAATAACACTTGAATTTACCTTCTTCATTTCAACTTCGAATTTTTCTTCTTTGATATCCAAAGGTTTTCTTGTGAATTTCATTAACAATCAAGGGGTGGATCCAGCAATTTTTGAAAGGGGGGAGGCTCCAGGTCGGTGCCCCAAGCACTCATGCACAGAATCACACCTCGGCCACTTTAAGTCCGTAGCTACATTTAAAAGAAAGGGGGCCTCCAAAAACAGTTGACAAGGAAAAACCCTTTGCATCACACTCTAAAATCCGGGGGGGGGGGGGGGTGCTGGGATGCTGCAATCCGACGTCCTTTCTCACGAACACGCGCACGTAAAATGTTTATTAAAAATACTGACAGGAAGGAGAGATTGTCCATGCGGTCACCTGACAAAAACTACATTTTCCATTGGTGTAATAAAAAATCATGCTGAAAATCCGTGACATGACGTTTGATTGGCCATGATACAAGAAAGTTATTGAATATTTATTATGGTGTATCCTGATTTATTTGGACGAAGGGCAGAGACTCGTGCTTCGCACTCGTCACCGCCCTTCGTCCAAATAACTCAGGATACACCATAATAAATATACAATAACTATTACTTAATATACTTATATGCAGCAAAATATTTTCATCGCCTGCATATACGGAGTTTATATATCTCAGGTGATTCGATACGCAAGAGCATGTTCTACTGTGACGTACAAATAGTTTCTAAAACGAGGTAAGTTATTGACAAACAAGTTGATGAAACAAGAATATAAAAAGTCTCGTTTAAAGTAATCATTTCATAAGTTCTGTGGTCAATACAATTTTGTCAGCAAATACAATTTAACATTGAGTCAAATGCTGCATGACTGACGTTTTCTTTATACTAATTGTTAGTGACGTGTGGCCGTTCTGCAGAGGATGTTCACTCCTCCATGGCACCTGATCCCACCTCTGATGTTCTGGAGGTCCGGGTTTGCTCTGCTCCTATTTTATATTGTTTTATGAACTTTTGATCTTGAATACTGTTCGTTGTCTCTATATGTTTCATGGAAGCATTCTGGCATAGTGTAAATTCAAGTTTGCCCCCACTTTTAAGCCTTCCAAAATGAACGTTACTGATTTCTACGTTTTCCTAGTCAATGTGCTCAGGTGAACGGTGTGCTCCGTGTTCCTCTTGTTCTGAAAATGGGAACAACTCCAACGTCAAGGTAAAAATATTCCTATACCAAGGAAAGGTCATCCCGCAAAATATGCACATGTAAAGTATGAAAGCTCTAACACCAAACGTTGAAATATTATGGCCAAGGTTACAAGTCCATAAGTATACTATCGATCTTGCAAGTAATAAAATGTGATGTATAGAAGAACCAGGTGGCTGTGCATATTTCAAGCAGAAAACACCTAATATTAATGATCACTTTCACTGAAGATGAGATCTTTAATTAAAGAAAAATAAAAGTCCTATAATGACTACTAGTTGTACCTTCATGATTCATCGATGAATCGAATTTTCAAAGTGGCCCCTTCTTAATTAATCATACATGTATTTTTTAAATCAACATTTCGCAAATGTTCTGGTTGATAAAGTGGCCTTGTTTGCAAATACAATTTATAATATCAAATGTTCATAGAAAGTGTTGAGCCATAACCGTGTGTATTACTGGAGTAGGCGGCAGGTGTGATATGTTGGCCGAGTTGCTTATCCCTCCATGGCATCTGATCCCACCTTTGTTTCCAAAAGTCTGTTTTTTAACAAAGTTTTGTTCACCGATTTATAATTTCTATGAGCCTAAAATTAAAGAAAACAATGACAAAACAAAAGACATTCCTGAAAAACTCGTTACATTACTCAAGACTCCAACTTCTGATACAGTTTTTGGTTTATTCAAATGAAATTAAATTCCATACATCCAGTTTTAAACAGCTATGTTGCCGTAAAATACTAGTATTCTATAAAACGTCTAAATGTTGCCTTGGCACATTTATCCCCGAGGAAATACTTGGTAGTTTCTTAAAATACGTCAAATTTTACTTATCTTTGCATATAAAGTTTTGTAACTGTGATACAATTAAAAATTTTAAAGCACTTATGGGTCCAAATACACCGGATGAGCTGCACATGCAGTCTCATCCGAGTCGCCCGGTTTCAAGCCCGGAAAACCAAAATAACCTTTGTTCTAATACAAGATCCAGTATTTACTAGTCAGTCGCTTTCCACTCCAAAAACCCTCCACGAAGAAGATTAACTAGGTTTGTTAACTAAAGATGACAACTGCTCGTGTCTGTTGATCAATGCTGGTTTTCATATGGGAAGATTTGAAAATTTTTCATGCAGAAAATAAAGATCTTTATTTTGTTTTACCATTTTTGGTATTTGAATACTAGTACGCACAAATAAGAAAGAAAGCAAAGCTGGGGTTGCTGGGTCAACAAAGGAATTTTTCGTCCGAGTTAATGGAAAGATGATTATAAAGTCGCGTATTTTTGCTTGCAGATAAGGTGTAAAAGATTTAAAAATCTGGAAAAAAAAATGTTTTCTGTCAAATGAAGACCTTGATAAAAGTGATGTGAAATCGATTTCATGTCCATATTGACTTGCGCTTTTGGGAGAGTGGAGTCAAATGCTAGAATGGAAATAGATTACACATAGTCGGAACAAATCTTACCCCCTCTTTTTGTAAATAAATAAAAAAAAAATATATATATGGCACGCCAAATTCACAAAAATGAGATAAACCTAGTTTCACAATTGATAAACTAGGTTTATCGACTGTAAACTATAGTTTACAAACCGTAAACTATAGTTAACGATTCGTTAAGTATAGTTAACGATTCGTTAAGTATAGTTTTCATCTGTAAAACTATATTTAACGGTCGTTAACTATAGTTTACGAATGTTAATCTAAGTATATCTGTCTGAATAAAGCGTTAACAATAGATTTTGTTGATAAACGAAGATTCACGTTTGTAAACTATAGTTTACAATCGTAAACTATAGTTAAGAGTTGTTAATCATAGTTTCACAAATCGTGAAACTATATTTATCAGATCGTTAACTATAGTTAACGGTTTGTAAACTATAGTTTACAAATCGTGAAACTGTAATTATCAGATAATCTATGTTTTGCAATCGCAAATGATAGTTTTCGGCGTTAAGTATATATAGTTTACGGTTGTGAAACATAGATTATCGCGTTAACTATAGTTTACAGATGTAAAATATAGATTAACGTTGTTAACTATAGTTTACAGTCCGTAAACTATAGTTTACAACCGATAAACCTAGTTTATCGATTGTGAAACTATGATTTGCTCATTTTTGTGAATTTGGCGTGCCATATATATATATATATGCATGGCCAGCTCTGGAAAAATTATTGTTTGGGCATTAATTTCAACCTAACGGATGAAGGCTTCAAATGCCTAAATAAAGATCATCTGCAAAGCGATTTGCCTGCATTGTAGTGTATTGTACATGTGCATGAAGGAGGATGCGATGTTTTAATTTCTAAAGATTTATCTGGACCATGTTTCTGTCATTATATTATATTCATAGTCTTCTAGATGTAACTGCAAGTAATTTTATATTTTACTCTTAGCTGGACGTTTATCTTGTACAGGCTACAGCCAAAGTAGGTCTCAACATCGATTTTCTAGTTTACCTGCTTTGTGCTCCAAACTTGTCTCCATCGTGTCCATGATCGAGATCAACGATAATCTGGGAAAAAAGAAACATGTTACAGATGATGTACCTGATTCAAATCTGACGTGGTTCTTGATGCAATGGGAGCAAAAGTGTGGGTAGATGTTAAAAACAAAAATACAAAGTTTCATAAATTTAATTTCACGGTGCAAAACATAAAAACAGACGAAAATAAAAAGAGAGTTCCATTTCTCCAGCCATTTCTGTAACATTAAAACACCCAACACTTAAAATCTGTAAAATGACAATTCACTGCCCGACTCAGCAGATTCCAAGATAGTGTGTCAAATCCTGTGTTTGTTAATCTTTTTAAGTATCTAACATATACCTGATATTATTTAAGTCCAAGACAAGGAAAAAAAAGAACACAATTAATTCAAACTTAAGTAAAACAAAATAAAAAAGAAATGTCTCAGGACCTTCAGAATGCAATGAATGATCCAGATCATTTTTAATAGTCTTAAAAACAAGTTCTGTGTATAAAAAAGAAAACTTCAATTCACTGCCTATACCTTCTCACTAAATGGCTGAATTATTAAAGGCACTCAATAAATATCCAGTTTACCACCTTCTAAACTGACAATACTTCATCAAGATCCAACATTTTATCTTGAAATAAATAACACACATTAAACTTGATTCACATTTTACCCTACATATATTGTAAAATATAACTACTATATATATATATACAGTGTATAAACACACATTGGCATTACATATGTACATAAATTGGGTTTCAGTATAAAAACACCACAACAATTGCAATGAGCTATTGCAATGTACTTGGTCATTTCTGAAGCAGAAATAATTTAATTTGGAATTTTGCTCAAGAATTGATAATGATATGATAAATCTTTATGGACAAAATGATGCATCAGTTTTCTTCCCAGCCATCTGATGATCTGTTGCTTTGGTATGATTGAAGAAAAATCTGCTAGAGTAAACAAGTCATCAATCTTTCTTGTTTGGTAAAAGATGTATGGAGTTAGGGTCACTGAAATGACCATTGCGTCCGAGAACATCCACCGGACGTACAGCAAAATGATATTTGTTCCCCTCCTGAAACTGTGTCAAAGTACATGCCATTGGTAAGGGCAGTGCTTTAACATCTCCAACCTACAACATTAAAAAAACCAAACTTTTTTCATGATCTTTAGAAATTCTTCAATTCATCCAATAAAAAACAATGACCCAGTAACTACCTGTAAATTTATACTGACCTTTTTCCAAAGAGCTGTACTTGGTGGTGTATTTCCCTCTTGATATGCAAACAGCTGATACGATGCTATATCAGCATGAGGCGTCTCATTCAAAGTCATATTCCAAGACAGCACAATACCTACAGCAAGATTACAGCCAATTTGAAAGAAAAAGTCAATGGGTGACAACTCCCATTTCTTTCATTATCTAACAGTACAAAATAAGTTAATTATCTCTTATTTTTTTATTTCACAAATTTAAAATTCACACAAAATTATAAATTTATTTGTTTCTTTGCTATAGAATTTCAATATCAGTGCACTATTTGGCTCTGAACTCTATGATAAACAAAACAATGACCTAAAAATTTGAATCTTGAAAACTTATGTTCTTCAGAAGAGATCTATTTTTTTTTGTAAAACTTTGTCACAACTAACTATCTCCCACTCACCCTGGCTGACCCTGGAGATCTTCAGACTGGGTTTTGGAGGTAATGGTTTCTGACCTGAAGTCACCACCGATGTAACAGGAGGTAATGGTGCTGGGTGTTGAGCAGAAAGGGGAGGGGGTGCCACAGTGGTTAAAGATGTATTTGCCATCCTCTGAAATGAAATTTCCTTAAAGATTAATATCAACTCCAAAGTACCATAGCGATGGCTTGATCAATGTTCAATCCCATTGATTCACCTCAGTATAATAGGTAATGTTAAGCAAAGCAGAAACCTACATTTGTATTTTGAGCTCCATACTGTAAAGGTGGAGGTGGTCGTTGCTGAACTGGAGCTGCCACGGATGCTGTTTGTTTGGAGCTCGGAGGAGTGGTGGTGGCTTGCCCTGGTCTAAGCTGAGGCATTGCTGTAATGGCTGATGAAGTTGCTGCCACCATGGATGTTCCTGCTACAGCAGGTCTCATTCCAGGACTGGGAATAGGGGTGGCAAGAGTCAGAATACTGCCCTGAGGTAATGCTTTGCTGGTGGAACTGAAGACAAACTGATATGCTGGTTGTTGTTGTCCATTTCTTATAATTGAAGAACCTGCAGGATTTGACAGGATCAGACCTTGTGGCAATCCTGTTCCTGTTGGAACCAGAACCTGATTATTGGACATGGAGATTGCAACTCCCCTGTTTGCCAGGTTTCGATTGGCTTCTTCTTCCATGGTGAGGTCGATCACTTTAACAGACTTTGTCTGCCCTTGCTGATTCACTTGAACTTGTTGCTGACTGCTAAGAGTTGGTGGGTTTACAATTGGTGCTGTGACAACTGTAACATTTGGCTTTGAAGTGGGTAATGCGCCTGGTGTTGGAACTACAATATAAGATGTCATCTGATTGGGCGCTATAGTTGGAGAGAGTAAGGTGTTTGACTGAACTCCTGGGGTGACCGCTCGCACAGGTCTGACTCGAGAATTACTGATAGGCTGTGAAACCAAACCCCGACTGGTATCCAGAATGTTCTTAACAGTCTGGTTTCCTGGACTCTGTTGGAGGGAACTCCGAGTGTTATCCAAGATTGTCTTAACTGTCTGGTTGGATGGAAATGGTCCTTTACTTCCATCTGCTGCTGAAGGAAACGTCACAATGGGTGCAGACTGGCTACTGAGAGTTGTCTATGAAAATAACATAAAACACGTCACAAATAACTCATGAAACAAAGCATGTGCACATAATATATTGAATGAAAATCAAATGATCTTACCTGCATTTGTGCTGGGGTCTGGGTCTTGAGAATTGGAATGTTTGTAACGGGATTGAGAGTGGACTTGGGGGGAGCCAGCTGAGGCGAGGATGGTGTGAACTTGGAGATGGTGAGGGTGGGGCCAGGCTTTGAGGTAGAGGCGGGAGGAGTTGTGGCAGTTTTAGTGATGGGTTTGGGAGTTGGAGACTTGACTGGAGTGGTCTGTTGTGATTGTTGGACTATAGCTGCTGCCTACAATATGGAAAATGTACAAGGTTAGCAGTAGTCCATTTTATATCAATAAACATCAAAACTTTTTATAAACTCTAAATTGCACAAAATAAATGTGGTAAAAATTATCTAACCAAAGTGTATGAGGCAAAAGCATTACTTTCATCTATAAGAATTATCAAGAAGATTTACCACAGAGAAGGGACATAACTTGTTATTATCTCTTAAATATGACTAAAATCTTAGTGCATTTTTCTTCCTTGATGAAAGAGGAAGTAAATCAAACTGTATATAGTTTATAGATACTTATCTGAAGAAATACAAAAATGTTAGTCATTTAATGATCAGTAAATTTCCAATAAATAAATTCTAGGAAGCACATTTAATGACATATACCACACTCACCTTCTGTGAATCAACCTGAACTCCAACACTCTTTGTAGTGATTTGCTAAAACATAAAAGAAATTATTAAAAACATGAAGACACTTGTTTTTCAACATTAAAGTCCTAAATTATTGGTATTCAATCTTACTTACTCTTAGAGCTGCGGTTTTTGCTTTACGTTTTTCATGTTTCTGCTGGAGAACTGTGACCTCTAGAATTTGCTTCTCAAGGTCTTTCACTCTTTGCTTCCACATATCATTAGAAGCTTGCAACTCCTCAACTTTTTGCTGAAGCTCTGCTACCAATCCTTCTTTTTGGTTTTTAAGGTGGTTTAGTACTTTTGTTTTTACCATCTTCTCTAGTACCTAGAATTATTCTCACATTTTAGTAATTCTACACACAGGTGAATAGGATGGAAAACAGACCCCTCCCCCCTCTCCCCCCCCAAAAAAATTGCTATAAGGTATAAATACCTTTTCTGAAAGTCTAACAGGTGGTTTCTTCTTCTTTCTATGCAGATCTTCATCTTCATCCTCAGTATCCTCTGTGGGAGTTGGCGTCGATTCGGTTGCTGTATCAGTGTCCGACATCTCCTCATCCTTCAGACTTTCAGGGGCTATCCCAATCTGTGTTCCAAGTTTCCCGATCACCATATCCAATCTGGAGCGCTTGGGTTCGTAGGGGAGAGCATCACTGAAGTCAGCCGGTCTCTTTTTATCATTCACTTCTTTCTCCTCCTGTGCATCCTTAGAATCTAAATTACTGCTGTCTTCAGATGACTTGCTGTCCTCACTAGTGGTATTGTTTTCACTTTCACTTTTTCGTTTCTTTTCAGAACCACTACTTTCACTTTCACTTGCACTCTCTTCCTCCTCTTCCTCTTCGACTTCCATTTTTTCGGATGCATCTTCCACATCTTTTCCATTCTCACTGATTGAGTTTTTATCACAGCTGACAGAGTCCTGAGAGTCTTTACTGGCTGATTCCTGAGATTGAGGGCTCCTGACAGATATCCCTGACTGCTGAGTGTCTTCATCTGATGCCAGGAGTTTGTCTTCTTCCTCTGGTTTCATATCATTCTCATTCCTAGCTTCCTCATTTGACGTCTTCTTTTCTTCATCCTCTGAATCAGAGGTTATTTCTAACAAATCATTTTCAGATTTCTTTTCCTTGGCATCTACTTTGAGATCATTTGAATGTACGGGAAGATCACCTTTAGTTTCTTTTTCTTCTATACTGTCATCAAGTTCTATTACCTCATCACATTTAGCTTTTGTTTCTGCTTCCACGTTTACTACTGAATTATCTACAAATGAGTACATACTTCTGTCATACAAGTGAAACAAATTTATACAGAGAACTTTGAGCTAAAATGATTGTTCACTTTTTAAAAAAATCAAAACTCATTTTAACTGAAAGTTTAACAAGACAAATTGTTGAGGGAAAAAAAAATATCATTGAAAGACCCTCCCCCCTTTTTTGTTGCAGTATTTTCAAATAAGAATAATGACTAATGAGTATGTTTAAACAGAAAAAAAATGGCACTGAAGTTGGAACCTACCTCCCCCCTTTCATTTTTTTAATTTGTTTTTTTTCGCTAGCTCCCTCCCCCTCTCCCCCCCCCCCATAACAATGCTACATCACTTTACGAGGTGTAAGAGAAACTGTTGATCTACTGTTAAAACATTTGACATATTCTTGTTTATTTTAAAGAAGATTCTCCATTTTTTTTTTCCACCTATATAATTTTATGTATAACTTAATATGGTCCAATGCGTCTTTCACAAAATATACTGATCGATGTTTCTGAAGGTAAACATGCTTTACTATTCAGAGTAGCCACTGCAGGCCATACCAGTCAAATTTTTTGCTCATTAGATCCACTCACTGGTATTCAAACAAAAATATCTAAATAATATTAAATAAATAAAAATTTTCTGCACCGCGAAAAAAATAAATTCCTTTTTCTTCTTGAAAAATAAATGTCCATATATTTTTCAATTTGGTATATATCCAAGTCTTTTTCTTGTAAAAGATTCAAAATTCAAAAGTTAATAAAAATAATTTTTTCTTGGTCACACAAAAAATAATCCTATGTATGATATCGCTTGAAATCACCTTCGAAAAATTTAATTTTTCGATTATATGTCATGAAGAACAAATTGGAGTGATTTAGGCCACACAAAACAATAAATTGCTAGATTCGTTTCACTCCCGAAAATAAATATTTTTTTAAAAATTTATAGGAAAACATACAAAACAATATGTTGTAGGATAAACCTTTGTTCACAATTTGATAAATTAGGTTGATACAATTCAAATGCTAAATTTTTTATAAACCGTAAACAATGCAAGGGCGGCAGGGTTAAGTAGACACGTATATACTGCCTATTCGGTCCGTAACGAACGTCGCATGTATATTTTGACATTATTTTGGTAAATGTATTTATAGTGAATGCTAAGGCGCTACGTACATTAAAAAACAATTCTCAAGTAATTACATTGTTGTTTGAATGGTTCCAATTAACAATTTTCGTAAATGACAATGATATTTAATCTTTAATCATTAAACAATAAGTCAAAACTCACTTAAAATACAAAAAAATTTTAAAAATATCTTTATTCTTTAAATATGCAAATTAATATAAAAATTAATATGGATGATATTCAGTCAATTTCTTGATTTTTAAAAGATATATTATGTCAGACTCGGGTTTGAATTTTTTTCATAATTAGATATAACCGATAAATATATTTTTTTTTCAATATTTAACTCCCAAAATACTTAACTTATAGGGGAAGTATATACAGTAGTTAAGGTTTTTGAAGTATGTTTTCCATGTAAGGATTGTTGTAATAAACTATTAAATCAATCTTATAATTTATTTTTATATATTATCTATGTAATAAGCGTTAACAATAGATTTTATTGATAAACATATGATTCACGTTTGTAAACTAAGTTTAAATCGTAAATATAAAGAGTTGTGCACCATGGGAATTTCACAAATCGTGAAACTATATTTATCAGATCGTTCATATCTATATTTCCAACGGTTTGTAAACTAAGTTTACAAATCGTGAAAAAGTATATAATAATGCTATGTTTTTCGCAAATGATCGTTTTCGGTGTTAAGTATAGTTTATGGTTGTGAAACATAGATTATCGCGTTAAATATGATTTACAAATGTAAAATATAGATTAACGTTGTTAACTATAGTTTACGGTTTGTAAACTATAGTTTACAACTGATAAACCTAGTTTATCGATTGTGAAACTATGATTATCTCATTTTTGTGAATTTGGCGTGCCATAGAGGGGGTTGGGTGGCTTTTATTTTATATTTTTTATTTTTTCAATTTTGCAGATTTTTTATTGACTTGGTCAATCGTTGTACATGTAATTATATCTACATTACCAGAATAAAAGTCAATGTATACACATGTATTACAGCAATAACCATCTTTTCAGCTGTCAAAATCATGTCGACTTTCGCTAGGGCTGGGACGATACAACTTTTTATATATCAATATGTATCACGATATTTGAGCCACGATACGATATGAATCACGATATGTTTAATTGCTTATAAAATCTTTTTTTGCATTGAAATAAACAAATTATTTTTTTGCAAATAAGAAGAGTTTATTTAAAATAGTTGTTCATATGTTGTAAAACAAAAATATTTTACTAAAATGGTGTTAATTCTTATTTATTTTATGTATTAAAACCAAAATGTTAAATAAACAAAGAAAAATAGCAGTCAGATTTTCATGGGCGATATTTCGATATTTCTTTATATGTATCAATATGCGTATCGTCCTTACAGATATCACAATATATCGATATCTCGATATATCGTCCCAGCCCAAACTTTCGCAGGATTTAAAACGAAAGTAGAATGGTAAATGAATACCGATCCCCATCAGAATTAAGACGAAGAAAAATAGAAATTAAAAAAATTGAGACGGAGGTATAAAATCGGGGCGGGTGGGGTTGAGAATCTAGGAATATTTTTATAATGGCCTTATCGAAAAGCAAAATTTTCATTCATTTTTGGAAGAATTTTCATTGCATTAAGACGTGTAAAAAAAATTGGACAATTTTGTGAATATTAGGAAATTTGATTATCATTTCCAAGATGCTGCTGCAGCATACTGCCTCTTTTCGGCTATTATTTTGGTTCAAGAAAACACTGAAACGTCTGGAAAATTGATCAAAAATATTTTTTGCTGTAGAACTACAGTACCTGGCCATAAGTGAGTCATAATTTTATTTTTACACTATATATTTCATTGAAAAACCTATTTTCATAAAAACTTGTTGTGAAGTCAATTTTAGCTCAATTTTCATGATTTTTTCATATAACATCAGAATTATTCAAATTTTCTTTTTAAATGATAAACAAAATGATACTTGAAATATTGAGAATAAATCATATATTGTCATGACAAAATTTTCTAACCTCAAATTACTATGATTTCCTAACAAATTGAAGTCTTAAAATTTTTGTTTTGCACTTGATATATTTCACGGTAGTGCATAAAGATAAAACTATTTTGAAATAATGTGAAGAAACTACAACAAATTCTGCATTTTATGGTGTTTTAGACATTAAAAAGAAACAATAAATGACACTGCAAGCATATTTTAGAAAAATGTGTTTCCTAATGAAATATATAGTGGAAAAATAAAATTATGACTCACTTATGGCCAAGTACTGTAGATTTGTTTTTTGGCTGACAATTATTTGTGAATAGATAATGTCACATATATAATACTTGGTTTATAGGATGCCTTACCAAGTTATTTGCATAGTATGATAAACCATGGTTGGTTTAGCAAATCGATATGGTCTCTAGACTACTCTCATTCAAATGCAAAACAAATTGATCTGCTAACAGTGCCATATTTCATAATCAGACCCACAGATCACATAAAACATTATGCATTATGTTTCAACTCTGACCTAATAATGGCTGATAAAATCTATAGAAACCCATACACAGCCTAACTGAATTGGAATTATAGCCTTCTCTTCTTTTGTTATACAGGGATATTTTATAAAATTCTTACCTTTATTGCACTCTGTTGTTTTTTCAATGGCCGTAGTAGAATTTTGCATTTCTTGCATTTTGTCAAATAAATTCCCAGCAGAAGTTTTCTGCCCCCCTGACACAGAAGGGGCTGAGGTTGTAGTAGGAGGTGGTGGGTTTAAGATAATACTACTTTTTGTGTCCTTGCTACTCAAGCCTGTGTATTTTGTTTTAGCAAGTAGATTTCCAAGCGTTGGAGTATTTTCAGACATTTTGTTCATGATGTCCCTGAACGAACTCCTCATTTTATCGTTAATCACAAAAGACCTATCGTCCAGCAAGTTGATAGGAGTTCCGTCAAAAGGAGGTCCGTTTTTCCTGTTAAAAATGCCCATGTCACTGGAGTAATCCTCCTTCCGTGTTGGGAGAGATTCTTTTATCACATTTTGATCGTTGTGGACATTATTTTGCCCGTTCATTTGTGTTTTTTCTATTGCACATTGTCCGTTGATGGAATTCATGTTCATGAATGGAGTATCACAACCTTCAGAAGAAGAGGAGCTGCTATTCATCATCCTCCTCCACCTCCTTCTTCTTCTATACTTCCTCAATAAGCTACTGCAACAAAAAATTGTTTTTTCTTAATTTGACACAAAAGTTTAAACATAGTAAAAAAATAATTTAGAAGCAAGGTTATTTTTTTATTTGGTGTAAAGTGATAAAACATGAAAAATTTTTGTTCGTATATATTATTATATGCCTCCCCCCTTCTGTTAAAAAAAAAAAATTTGGAAGACATTGGCCTGAAATGCATTGATTCAATAAAACAATGAAATTTGCCTTTGAAAATAATGGACCTTGCTATTGAGAATTAACTTTTAATTAAGAAACCATTTCAAGTCTAGAAAATCATATAATTTAAAACTTAATCCCAAAAATTTCATTATCATTTTCTTATCAAAAATACAAAATCAAGTAAAGATTTTGATTAATTTTTTGTTTTCCAAACTATCAAGTTTCTAATATGCTAAAAAATATTAAATTGAAAACAGTCGGGAAAAAGTTGAGTAATAACATATTAAATTTTACAACAAAGAAAAATTAAATGGTATTTAAAAAATGGTTTTCAAAAAAAGCTAATCAAATGCATTTTTATTGAAATATAATTTTTTTTAAATAATGCGAAAAATATGCAAATATTTTATAATTTATATGAAATATACATCCCATGTCACTTTTTGACCCAGAAAATGTTGCAAACCATTGAAGCCATGAAAGGTAATTTTAACTGAATCAGTAATTTCCTACCACTACTATTTTAACTTTAAAGGTATTTAGCTAAAAATTATCAAAATCAAGAAAGTTAAGAACTTTAAGCATGTACAACATTTTTAACCAGTAAGAGTTATTTCTCTTTTCCATCAGCATGGCATTCCTGAATGATCATTATTAACTAGTCATATTTTTCCTGTTTTATAAATATGTAAAGACCTATTGAAATGAATATATTCATAGAAGAAAAGACCCTATATTATATATATTTATATGTATTATATATAAGTAGCTTATCATTAAATATGTATACAGAAAAAAAAACTTTCCTATACAAGGGATCTGTCTTTTCTATGGGAAATCCAAGGTGAATCTTTGCCTTAATTTACTGTACAAATTTTGAAACTATGAAAATCATTGGGGTGGGGGGGGGGGTGGGTGTGTGTGTGTGTGTGGGGGGGGGGGGCAGGTCCAGGGGCTTGACCCCTTCACTGCCCATAACCCATGATTTCCTTAAGCTATATTTTTTTGTTCCCAGACTTTTCTTACTTGTCAATTTTTCTTTTGGTATATAATGACATATAAATCTACAATTTCAAAAAAATACTTTTTCTAGTTCAAGTCATATCAAATGCTCAATGATATAATTCCATCTCAATTAACATCAAATTTAGAGATGGACCAAATTCCCCTTTTGTGACCAAATATTAATAATAATATATCATTTTTCTGTTGAGGAATATTACATTTTTTTATATTGAAAAGTTGAATATATCATGTAAATAAAAAAAATTGTACCAAACTCCCCTAAAATCTAGACCCCCAGGTGCCCCCCTTTTGAAGAACGCTGGATACTCCATTGGAAGTAGCAATTTGAAAATTTGTCTACAGAAGAAAAATTGTTTTTAAAGACAGGAGTCTAATTATTTGTGGTGGTGGTGGGGGGGGGGGGGGTTATCCTTCTTCATTCCTCTTTTGCTGTCAATTTCCCTCCTTTTTCCTTCTTCACATCACTTACTCCCACTTCCCCTTTCACACAAATCACTCTCCTTATGTAATCAATGCCGTTTCTCTGGTTTTACGATGCAGAATTTTTTTTTTTTTTTTTGCTATTAAATTTACGGTTTAGTTTTTAAACAAAAAAATACAAAAAATACCCAGGCCAGCAGTTCAAGGATATTATGACAAAATCAACTTAATTTAAACCAAACTGATCAGTCTTCTTACGACAAATAAATTCATCGAATTTAGCAAGTTAGCATCAGATTCAGAGCAGGAACAGAGCTCAAGACAAGTGATATTATTTTTCAAATCTTGTAATATACGTAGCCTCATGGGTGCCTGTAGACTATGCATTTTTACAAGATTGCGTGTATTTTTACCTCATCCTTACAAAGGTGATTACAGAAAAAAACTTTCACTGCAGTGAACATTATGGTAATGGCGGCATGACCCGTCCGTCGTATTTCCTTTTCCCGCCTTTCTTCGACACGTGTTTCATATGTACTTCGCGTTATAGGCTATATACATTCTTTGATTCGTGTTTTAAAGATATTTTACTTTTATTTTGGATAACTTTTGTTCTTCATGATATATTTCATCCATATTTTTTTCTTGCACCACCTTTAAAATCGATAAACCATTACAGTTTGTGCCTCGCGATTGTCTGCTTCCCGAAAAGAATGTCGTCATCAAACTAGTTACTACCAGTTTTGCTCAGGGAAAATCTCAAAACTCAAAAATGTACGAATTTGTCGCTCGCAGTTTATCATACGCCACAATTTGAAACCTGCCAATATTGAGAGTTTTCATAATAATTATTTTTATAATGGAACTCTAATTAAAATTAATAAACTTTAAATTAAATATAGTACTAGTGTGTATTATAGCAGTAATATAAAAAAAAAATGCATAAAAATCCCTTTTTTAGGAATATTTCACATTTAATTCTGAATAAAACGCCACTTAAAATATTTCTATCCAGAATATGTTTTTTTTTTTATTTTGTGTCAATGTATAATATTCATTCACAATCACTTCTCGATTTAAAGAAAACAATTAAATACTTATTTTTCCGCTGCCTGATTTTTATTCTATACATAACATCTCGTGCACCCGAAATTGACTTTCTTTATGTTGCAGATGCTTCAATTTTAATGAATATTATTACGTATATCATGGTATAATAGATCAATGTACTTTACTCGCAATGCACAAAAATTTATAAGAGCAAGCGCGACATCACGTGATAAGGTCACAAATGGGATATCTGTTTTCACAAATTAAATTAGAAAATACATCGATTCTGGAAAGAAATGAGAAATACCACATTCGATCACAGCTATTGATAAACGCTTTTTAACATCTATTCATCATTTTGATTTCCTTCATAATACAGTCGATGCAGTTTTGTCAGTGACGTATCATTGACACATGAATTCCTCTCCCAAGCAAACTAAATTTAAAATAAGACGGCAAATAAAACATCGTTTATTTATTTAAATGGTGAACTGAAGCACAAAACAAGTTTTATTTTACAACCATTTTTTTATCGTCATATATTTCCATTTCTTATATATATAATGATCGATCAAGATCTATAGCCGAGGTTTTTTCCCCGATTCGACTAAAAACATTTACAAATTGTTTTGAGATAACTTTGCATACATCTTAAATTATTTATCTAAAAAAAAAATCAAAAATTCAAGTACACATTACAAATATCACAAATATCAAATAGACTAACGCAAGTTATATGATTGTAGTCTATAATTCTATAGTGAAATAAAGTAAATGTAATGAATGACCAAAAGAGTCATAAATTTAAACACAACATCAATAAATCAGTCACAGATTATATGATTCATTATGCCAAATTAGATAAATAATGCAGAACAAAATTGTTTTCAAATATTTAAAAAATCCCCTAACGCACCTCGCAACTTCTGAGTGCATCACGTGACATTTAACGACAGGGATCGACTCAGAACATCACAGAATGGCCGACAACAAAGCAACACGTTGAATGTGTTTTATTAACCGATTTCTTTGCTTCATAAGGGGATTGACCATGTATTAAAACAATTATGCAGGATTGACAACGCTTGAGGATGAAGAATTTCAACAAATACAGGTGAGATAAGCCGAAAACAGTACAAATTTTAGAATCATCTACAAATGATACACAACTGGGGGATGTGTCATAACACGAATGCATCAAAACTTCTGTAAAACAAGTTTCTGTCAGTTGCGTTGTTAATATCATCAATGTTTACTTACTGTAATATAGTCAATTTTCAATCTCTTGCATTTTCGTTTTTCAGGATTTTCGTGGTTGTCGTCGACCGACAGAATCCAAAATGGCCTCCTGACTGTTCGACGCATGCGTGTAGAATAATATGCAAATGATCACTTTAGCCAATGGAAATTGAGACACTACAGGCCTTATCCCCTCGCCTTATGATATACATTATCCCGTTTACAAACACAAATCATATTTTATCAAGTTTTCAAATGCTTATCACTATCTAGACTGCATTTCTGATCGAAATAAGGTACATAGATTAGTATGTCAGTTTATTGACATTTTGTGTCATTCCCTAAAATGATATGAGTTATTCCCCCTAGAAGACCCAACAGACCCCACTAGAAGACCCAACTTCTCCAAAAATGATCGGAAGGGGAAAAATTCATACACGAAACGTTACATCTGTGTAATAGACGTAGCATTAAAAGCCGCGAACGGGTTGGACACATTGTACACTCTCACACACCATCAACCTCTCTCTTTCTCGCACACACACACAAATCGAAGTACTACGTAAAGGGATGCGTGAACCATGTCAGCGAATGTAGGTGTAGAGAGACCCTGCACATGGTCTTTGAAAATTCTGGGAAGATATTGTTGCAATGAAGACGAATGTAACCTGTCTTTTGTTAAACGTAATTGTAAGTTTGCAACCTCCGCGCTTGAATGGTTTAACAATCATAAAAAAAAATATTGAGAAAACAAGGTTGTTAACGCACAGTTTCAGTTTGCTCGTGCAACACTGTGTTTATACACTACACATAGAAACATGTGTAAATGTACATTTAAAATATGTGTAACACACGTTTATGCTCTTTAAAAGGGACGAGTTCAAACTGTGATTTTTTAATCTTGTTTACATTAGCTATTGAGCGTTTCCCCAGAAGAGAACGAAATGGAAATTTTATAGGAACGTGTGCAAAACTATCTGGGGGCCATAAAGGGTATCGTTTAATGATATTTTATAAAGAAAGTATAAAAAGCTTAGTTTTAGAGGTCAACATGTATAATTTAATGAAGCATAATAATTAACATTTTGAATTAAGTATGCAAAATATGTTTTGATATGTATAATTAATGTACATACAATTAAGAAGTGTGGCATATGAGTCATGTACGTGACCTGAATAAGATAACTGTGTACAACGCAGTCAGGCTTATACTTATTTATTATTATATATAGGCAATATTTAGCTGCTCAACTATATCATATTTACCTTCCTAAAATAGTGGAAAATACAAAAGTTTACTAAAAATAAGACACATATGACGATAAATTTTGATATTCTACAACCCATCATACCCCCATTTTGGCCTCGCTTAATTGATGGTGGAATCGACCATGAGTCAATCATGTTGAAAAAGTACTTTCTCACTCATACCATGCACATACACCTTCACACGTGTACACACACCCTCGCATTCACACACACATTAAATTCCACACGAACACTCGATCATCCTAGCTTCTTTTATCTCGAATTTTAACACAAAATCTGATAAGTTTCAGCCCTTGAATTACATTTTACCTCGATTAGTGTCTGACATGTGTACACACGTGCATATTTAAAGTCTGCTTGATACATTTTACGCAAATCTTGGTCAGAGCTATAGGTACAAGCAATATTGCTTATTCAAAAGGTGATGGAGAGGCGTGTATTAAAAATACAAATGATGACGGGAAAATATCTTCTTTTTAAATAAAAAGAAAAATCATCAAGGATGAAGCAAATATCAAGGTTTGGCATCAGATCCAAAATACATGTGTAGTGTATATGATCTAGTTTTCGTCAACGTAATGAAGTATGGTTTCGAATGTGTAATATTATCGGTCATATTGTACATGTTGTGCCAAATACAATTTATCATCGAATCAAAAGCTGAATGATACTTTTCCTACTTAGTGTTAGGCCATTATTTACACACTGATTGACGCCCGACGGATTTTCCCGTTATTTCCCGATCATGACGAGTACACGCACGGCGGGTAAGAACTGTGACCAGTCATCAGGGGATGCTCACTCGTCCATGGCACCTGATATCCCACCTCTGATGTTTTGGAGGTCTGTGTTTGCTGCTATTTTGTATTGTTTTATGGACTTATGAGCTTTCATACGATTCGTTATATCTCCATATATTTCCCGAATAAGTTTTTAAAAGTATACTTCATTTAATGATATGATATACCCGGACATTATACCCACATTCTCAGCTCAACATCTGCCGATCTATGGTACGAAATATGGAGTATAAGATCAAAAAAGATTTTTCATCAATATGGAAGCATATTCACGACTACATCGTAGGAACCCACAGTGTAACGGAGAGAAAATTCGTGGGCTCCGGCGATGTCACGGTTAGTGTAGATTCAGGTTTTTTTCATATGACCTTGGGGTGTAGGCCACAATTAATGCCATTGAGGAATGAACAGGAAAAAGAATATACCGAAGAAGAGAAAGAAGTGAAAGAGCCATTAGTATGAGGCGCCGTTTTAATATATATTAACTAAAGGTATTTTCTGATATCAGAAAATAATTTCTTTTAATATCGAAAAATCAACGAGATTTTTTCTTAATATCAAATCTTATATCAAATCTTATATCAAATATCAAATACTCAAAAATTCGAATTTCTGATATCAGAAAAATCATTTTGTGATATCAAAAATGCTCTTATTTCTGATATAAAAAAAATCATTTTGTGATATCAGAAATTCAGGTGGATTTTTTTTTATATCACAAAATCATTTTTTTTTTTTGTTATCAGAAATTCAACAATATATAGTCTGTAGGCTCATGCAGATAATAAATTCTCCCGGCCAAGATTGTTTTCACAGAAGTAGGTCATCCGTGTTTGGATTTTGTACTGTTCTCTACACTTAATGAAATTGTGGAAATGCTAACTTGTATACATATGTTACAAAATGAGAGTTACAAGTTTTGGTTAAATGATATTAATAAAGAATGAATATATGAAGTATAAAATAGTTACTAAATTATTTATTGAATTCTCTCAGGAATCTTTTCCCATCACATTATCAACTAAAGGGAGGCTACAAGACATTCGGAACATCGATACTTTTGTAACTTATCAGCATTGTAAATGCATTAATATTATGAATTTCTGTATATTTATTCATATTTCTGCATTTATCTATACAATATACAAAAAGCTCAAACAGGCTAGGCTAGACTGAAACAACCATGAAGTGATAACACAAGCGTAATCTGACAATAAGGGAGCATTCCTTAAAATAAATTCTATTTCATTCATATTTTCTGATATCAGTAAATCAATTTTATGACATCAAAAATTAAAACGCATTTTTTGATATCAGAAAGTCATTTTCTGATATCAAAAAATCGATTTCTCTTATATCAGAAAATGATATTTGATATCAAGAATTCAATTTTCTTATATCAGAAAATGATTTTTAATTATTGATATCAAGAATTCTAATCATTGATATCAAGAATTAATTTTTTTGATATAAAAAAAATAGCTCAAAAATATAGAAATGGCGCCTCATACATTAGTTACTCAGGTGAGCTTGTGACCCATAGGGCTTTAGCTAATAAATTACACAATTTATTATTAAATTTTTCAAAAAGTTATACATACACTGTATTTATATTTGATTATTTAAAAAGTGTAATGTATGAGTGTTTGATAGTGGCGGTGATTAAATTTAAAGATTTTTAATATACAAAAAAGAAAAATATTTTTAAAAAATCATAATGAAAGTGTTTAAAAGAAAATGCATGGGCAAAATAATTTAAAAATTATAAAATAGGAGTGAAAAAAGCAACCGGAAGAGTTTTTATTTTCCAGAAAAAAATGGAGAAAAATTAATGATATTAAGGGGGCATTATTTCTGAAAAAAAAAAAAATGAAATTCATATGTAATTAAGTCAAAGTTTCCGAGGAATCGCATGAAATAATTATAATGAAAGGAAAAACAACGAAAACAGTTATGTCTTTCCTGACTTTTCTTATGATGGTGAAAAATAAAGCAAGTGATATTTTCTTTCTATATATTTTTAAAACTGTACAGATATAGACCTATTTCCCTTTTTAAACATATTTAGGCACAATTTGACCGTACAGTTCCACGGAATGATCCGTTTTGCAAGAAATGAAGTCTTTTCCCAGTTTTAGCTAACCCGAGCTGAAAGTTCATGTGAGCTTTCTTGATCACATTTTGTCTGTAGTTCGCCTGTCCATCTTTCTGTTTGGTGGCATATTTTAAAATCGTCTCAAGAACCACTCGGACAAAAAAATTGAAACTTATAGAAACTTGTGACCTTCTTTACATAGTGTAAATTCAATATACGACATCTTTAAAGCAATATGAGCTGCATGTTTGACATCGGAAAAAAATATTTCAAATTTGTAATAAACTATTTCAATGACAGGAAATAGAACGTTTGTAAACTTCTGTTGTTCATAGTTGCTATGGAAGAACTTTTTATAAGCTTTGATAGAAGCAAAATTGAATTATTGTCGTCCTGTATACAATAATGATTTCTTTTATGTTACTGTATATTTGGTTGTGCAGAATATTTCTTCTGAAACATTTTTAAACTTTATTTTGCTCTTTTTCATCATAAAGGTTTAGATTACATACATATTAATCATAATAACACATTTTCCAGCAAAATAAAATTCTCAAAAATGCAGCTCATATTGCTTTAAGGTTCATAAATACTAGTACTCTGCTCACTCATATAAAATGTTGCTTTAACTTTTATGATTTTCCAAAAATTTATTTTATAAGTGAAATACAAACAATTAGACCATATCTTGCGGGACAAAATTTAAACAAACAAGAGGCCCATGGGCCACATCGCTCACCTGAGAAGCGTTGACCATTCTGTTCTTTACCAGATTTCCCCCTTGTTATACATAATGCATCCCATCCCTACCCCACTGATCATAATTTAGACATTTTGAAATCTACACTACCCCATGATCCTTCCATGGGCACAAGCTATTTTGGCCCAGTGGTGAGAAGAAGATTTTCAAAGCTATATTTCTTAAAACTTTGATTCATAATGGCCCCGCCCTTCCCCTGGGGGTCATGATTCCTACAATTTAGAATTTACACTACCCCAGAATGCTTCCACATAAGCTTCACTTTTTCTGGCCCAGTGGTTCTTGAGAAGAAGATTTTCAAAGATTTTTCCTATATATTATAAAAAATCTTCATGATTTCAACAATTTAGAATTTACACTATGCCAAGATACTTTCACAAAGTTTCAGCTTTTCTGGCCCAGTGGTTCTTGAGAAGAAGATTTTCAAAGACTATATATTTCTATCTAAAACTTTGATTCCCCATTGTGGCCCCGCCCTTCCCCCGGGGGTCATGATTTGTACAATTTAGAATCTACACTATACCAGGATGCTTAAAGTTTCAATGGCCCATATTTTCAAAGATTTTTCCTATATATTTCATCTAAAACTTTGATTCCCCATTGTGGCCCCGCCCTTCCCCCGGGGGTCATTATTTGAACAATTTAGAATCTACATTATACCAGGATGCTTCCACATAAGTTTTAGCTTTTCTGGCACAGTGGTTCTTGAGAAGATTTTCAAAGATTTTTCCTATATATTTCTATATAAAATGTGTGCTTTGAACAATTTAGAATCTAACTTTTATGATTTTCCAGTGGTTCTTGAGAAGAAGAATTTAGATTTTTCCTATATATTTCTATCTAAAACTTTGATTAAGTGAAATACAATCTACACTATACCAGATGCTTCCACATAAGTTTCAGCTTTTCTGGCCCAGTGGTTCTTGAGGAGAAGATTTTCAAAGATTTTTCCTATATATTTCTATATAAAAAGACATTTCAATTTGAACAAATCTACCCAAAGATGCTTCCACATAAGATAGAAATTTATGGCCCAGTTGTTGAGAAGAAGATTTTTTAATCTCTCTGATAATCTCCCCTTCGAGGGGATATGTCCCTTCATTTTAACAATTTAAATTCCCCTTCACCCAAGGAACCTCAAAATTGACCCAGTGGTTCTTGAGAAGAAGTCGAAAATGTGAAAAGTTTACGGACAAAATGTGATTCCTTGAGCCTTCGGCTCAGGTGAGCTAAAAAGATATTTCAACTTGACAAAATAGAAATTTATGTCGTTAAGAGTTATCTCTCTTATCAGAGTATCAATGAACCTTTAGTTGGTGATGATATTCCTTATAGTTATCGACAATTTTCCCCCAAGACGGTTACAGTATCATGAGTATGCTTCTCAAACCTGACAAAACACATTTCAAAGGCGGTACATGGCAGTGTATTGCGCAGTTTCACTTCACTGGGTGCGCCTTTTCTCCAAACATGCGTAAAACGTCTTTACTGTACAATTGTTACTCCTCTCGGACAGGCGTTAATAAGGGGGTATGGAACACAGTTACTTGTTTCGGGAATAAATTTTAAGCCATAGTAGAACTGTAATAATCAGTAATTAATATGTAGCATAATAAGTGTTACTATTTATACTGGGTTAATTTTTTTTTCGAAACAAGTGTCCGTGGGGTACCAGACGAAATCTACAAAATTTTTTAACGTATAATTGTACAGAATTTGCATGAAATGCCTCCACCTTTCAATATGTTTTATTGTAATTTAGATATTTTTCTATTTCAATGTGAAAAATTAAATTAAAAGAAAAAAAAATCCCAAAACTTAAATTGCACATTTAAGACAGTGCGCTCCAATCTGACATCTTAACAATTTAAAATGTACGAGAAGTTAGGGTAATCTTGATTTTTGTAAAATGAAAAAAAAAAATCTAGGTTACACTGAATGATCAACTTTCTGCAATCGGCTCATACGTTCACTGAATGACCTTTCAAAAATGAAATGGCTAATGCGTATAATGCCAGAGGAGTTCGGGGAGTCAGGTTGTTGTAAAAAGAATGCCGTTCGTCGACACCACTATTCATCACCTTGCAAAAGATGGTAAGTACTGCGCAAAATAAGAGAAAATTTGGGAACAAGGCTTTGTCGAAGGAAAAAACCCTTTTTCATTTCCTATTTGACCCCCAGGATAAAAATGAAAACTATTAAACATTATTGCACATCTATCACATTCCAAAGATGAATTGGTTACTGCTTTTAACTGAAAGGATATACAGGAAGTCCACATTTGGACAGATGTAGCTGCAAAAGCCACAAGTGCTTTTGTGTGACCAAATAACATCAAGATTCCAGCAAGATCAACATAAACACAAAATTAAGATTAACACCCCCACCCACCCCAAAATCTTCTGGTCTAAAACATTTTTCAAACACGGGAAGTATACTGGGATACGCTTTCATGAATAGGGGAATGAACGTTTGCAACATTGCACCAAAAATTACACGGACTGCGTAGTGCGTACGCCGATTATGCAGTTCTTTCTACTACTTATATACGGATATCTTCAGATTGTCATCATCCCTACTTTTTGCTAATTGGCCTGTCCTTCCAATTTATTTTAATCCACTATTTTTTTTTAACCCCTCCCCCCTCTTTTTTTTGGGGGAAAAACAATGCCAGTTCACATCGCTTTGACATTATGCTTCGAAGATAATGTATTAAATATCAATACCTTTATCTAACTTTTTGAAAGTATTTAACAGTCCACTTTGTAGACTGATTTGTATCTTTATCGCAGCTGACTACATTCTGTGTTGTTTCAATCAGTACGTCACTAAACGTATTACACGTCATATATATACTGTTGACAATTCAACACGTAAACGAAAATTATTTATAAATATCTGTGGAATCCACGTCTTATCCAGGAAAAGACAACTATGTAAGTTAGAGATAAACTTTATTAAGACTGAGACACTTCAACCCAAGGATAAATCAGATGTCCTTTCACGAGATCACCAATCAATTTGCTCCAATGGTAATGTTGACTAGCGGCATTTCGAAACGGGTTTTCACTTCTCTTCAACAGTTTTCGAAAAGGCATCTGTATTATCTGTATGAAGATATGATTCATGATAGAAACATTTTTAAACATTGATCTTTGTGATTTTAAAGAAAATTAATTAAATGTTTGAATATTTGAAAGAAAAGAGAAATCATTTGCCCAACCATGTCGAGGAGCACAAGGTGAGTGTGACTGATCTGCAAAGGATGCTTACTCCTTCATGGCACCTGATCCCACCTCTGATGTTTTAGAGGTCCTTATTACAATGGACTTTTGAGCTTGATTATTGATTGTTATCTCCATATTTAATTTAGGAATTTGCATTAGAAAAATATTTCTTATGTGTATGTATAGCTAATAAAAATAAAATTTGAAATTACTAAAAACAAATTATTCTACGTGCTCTTTTTATGACTAAAACAAATTAAAAAAAAAAGACCAGATAAAAAAATTCCCCAAAGAAACACAATGCCCCCTTCTTCTAAGCCTTATCAAAATATCTTTGGAATGAATAATGCAAATGTGGAAAAAAGTTAAAATTTTAAAGAATAAATAAAACTATCAAGAATTTTAAATTTGCATATGCATGCATAAACACATTCTCTATCCAGAGTTGTCGTTCCTCTACGCTTCCACATAGCGTAATAGTGTAGCAGCAGACAACTCTGGATAGAGAATGACATTAATGAATTCAACTTTCACAACCATAAACTTACTTGTAATGAGAATGTTGATGACTCATCCCTCTCACTGTGAGGAATAATACTGAAAAGGATATCCCCTGAAAAAAAAATCCATGGTGAGGACTAGATACAAATATTTGAATTTCAAAGTAAATTGTCAAAGCGTAAAACACATACCCTTTATATATCTGGAATTTATACACCACATCCAAACTGAATATAGTGGTAGTAAATCCAATGATTGTATGACTTTATCAATGAGTTCATGGGCTAATAGAACAACAAGTCGAAGCTGTAATATAAAAAAAAAACTTTTTCCTTTTTGCTATTTCAAGACAACACTGCAATTTTATGACTTTCAAAGTTACTTTTCAACAAAATATAATACATAAATGACAAGGCTGTGGAATGCATTTTTTTAATTTTTAGATTAATTTTAAACATAAAAGCATGGATGAGGCATTTTTGTTTTTATTATTGAATTTTGGGGGTATTTTTCAATTGTAATTTAGAATTTATATTTGGAAAAACATTTTTTTTTACTAATTAATGATTCACCAAGAAAGGAATCTTTCATTTCTGAAATATATAATAATATATGCATCACAAAATTTCAAAGAAACTGCCCTGAAACTTGATATGTTTTAATTGCAAAATTAGTATTTAATCTCATCGAGAGTTACCTCTCTTATCAGAGGGTCATGGAACCCTAATTTTCATCTTTTTCTCAAGTTTGCTTTGCCAGAAAAATTGCAATTTAGTATTTTGAACAAAGTAACATTTTACATGTTAAGAGTCTTAGTTTATGCTTTAAAAAAATTGAGGACATGCTTGCACTTTTTTTTATTATAACTAACAAATCTGTTTATGTTAAATGAAAAAAAAAGAAAGACATACTAAAATCTTTAAAAAATTGATGGTGTTTGTGTGCTATAATTTTATATTCATGATAACAAACTACATTATACATGTATAAGAACTGCAACTCTAATTTGATAGGTTTTATTATTATTTTTTTTTTCGGGGGGGGGGGGGGGGTTGTTAAGGCTTCTCTTAAAATCAGAGATCTGTAAACATACCATAGTGAAAACAACATAATACAGAGCACATGTTGGAAGAGTGAAGAGAAGAATAGTGAAAAGAAGGGTTCCAAGAAAAAGCTGGTCTACGTCATAGCGGACGGAATCCAAACGCTGACGCAACACATTCCATTTCTTCCCTCGAAATAAACGCCAAAAGGCAGACAAAGCATACACTTGGAATCGATACAGCCTGAAAAATTTAAGGATACGTACATGTATATATATTGTACATGTCATTTCCAAACAAAAAAAGAGACGTTTAAGGTTCATAAACCCTCTGCTCACTCATATAAAATGTTGCTTGAACCTTTAGGATTTTTCAAAAGAAATGTATTTTATAAGTAAAATAAAATAATTAAAGCATAGCTTGCGGGGCAAACTTGGACAAAAAAAGACACTTCAACTTGGCAAATCTATAAAGGGATAATAGATATTTATGTCATTAAGAGTTATCTCTCTTATCAGTGAGTTTCAATGAACCTTAAGAATAAATACTGTGTTCATGTTAACTCTGGGGGTTGGGAGGAAAATCAGATGAAAAGTGATATCATATTCCCCCTTAAAAATTTCACATTTCCTCTGCTAACTCATATAAAATGTTGCTTGAACCTTTAGGATTTTTCAAAAGAAATGTATTTTATAAGTAAAATAAAATAATTAAAGCATAGCTTGCGGGGCAAAATTGGACAAAAAAAGACACTTCAACTTGGCAAATCTATAAAGGGATAATAGATATTTATGTCATTAAGAGTTATCTCTCTTATCAGTGAGTTTCAATGAACCTTAAGAATAAATACTGTGTTCATGTTAACTCTGGGGGTTGGGAGGAAAATCAGATGAAAAGTGATATCATATTCCCCCTTAAAAATTTCACAATTTCTTTTCAAACAAACAATTCTATTGATATTTAAAAATATATTCTTTTACTGATACAAAATTAATTTTAATGCTAAAAAATCACCTTGCTGCATAAACATAAAAGCAGTATATATGTAAAGACATCATGGATATCACATCTCGAAGGAAGCACAGCTGGGCAGTTATCCCCAGCAGTCCCAAAAGTGAGGAGTACCAGAGCATGCTACTGAGGACTGTCTGTAGAATTCCAAGGTAACCTAGGGGGACAACACAAATAAATCATTCACAAATGGTTTCTTATCCCCTCACCCACCCCCCTCCTCCCTACCATTCTTTGCCCCCCCCCCACCCCCCCAAAAAAAGTATGCCTTTTGGTTTAATATATGCTTTCAGAGAAATAATTAGGAATTATGCCTGCAAGAAATATTTGTAGAAAAGAAATTTGTACTAAGGAAACTCACCTTTCCACAGGTAAATATGGTAGAGGAAGAAATGACCTAAAAACTCTGTCAGCTGTTTGTTTAATTTTAGACCCGCTGGGGCCCCCATCAACCATTCTACCAGAGAATGAAGATTTTCTGCTACTTCCTGTTTTGAGAAAAAACTTTGTCATACTTTGGTAGAAACCCTATTTTATTTAATGCTGAAAATAGATTTTGATTATTTTTATACAACTAAATGTTCTGAGCATGGAAAGGGGGTTCAATCTTAGCACAGTTGTGTCAACATAGAGCAATAAAAAAATTCAACCAATGAGGAACTTTCTCTGTATGGATGTAATTACTTAATACAGGACTATCTGTAGGAAAGGAAGAAGGGCTTAATGTTTCATGCATTCTGTCTTACTGGTAAACTAATTTTCATTTTTCATAAGTCACATTTCTATATTTTTTAACTGAAATTCTTCTTTAGAACATAGCATAAAAATACATTTAATGCATGACCAAATAAATAATGTACCAACAATTTTATCAATTGATTATTTTATAATTTACAGGTGCATCTTTCCCATGTTGAATTATCTGATTTTGTTCTCTATAATGTCTTACATAAGCCCAAGTGATGATAAGTGCTGCCACATAATCTGTCATATTGTAGTTGATAAAGAAATAAGTAAATGTAATCCCCAACACACAGTCCAGCAACTGCCTCCAACACAGATTGGCTACAAAAAACATTATAAAAATACTGTGAAATCACAAATTTTCATTGTTTTAATTTTTTTTAAGAGCGTATGTCTATTACTTTTTCTTTAATAAATTTTTATTAACCCTTTGTGTAAAATGTTACATACATAACATACTCAACAATTTCACATCCACAAAATTAAATCGTCAACCTACCTATCATTTGCAAAATCGGTTAAATAACCATGTATCAAATGTAATTACATTTTTATACCTATAATTTTAATTTTGTTTAATTTCAATAATAAAGCGAAAAAAATGCATTAAAACAGTAAATAGGCTTATATTTATATTCAGGAAATATTGTGCAATGGAAAAGAGATGCAGTTTTGCAGGAAAACATTTCACAAGTCTATCGCAGGATGAATTCTAGAATATAAATTATGCTGTATTAAATGTGACTTGCTTACGAGGAAAATAAATATGGAAGTGTCATATCCATAGCACTGAGCTCACAAAATGATATCTCCCTCCCATATGATATAAATGGCAAAGTCCATTTTTAAAAAAATTGTCTTTATCAGACAGAACATAAAATACAATTAAGTGTACACTGGCTCTTTTATGTAATTACTTAAGGATAAATAACACAAAAAAACTTTTTTTCAGAAATCAGCAATATTTCTTATAGATTTACATTTAAATTGGTAACCTAAACAATTGATGTTTACCAAGTACAGTTGGAAAATTTTATAAGACTTTGTCATAAGGTGAAAAATTTGTGCAAAATTTTGTATTGAATTATATAGGAACAAAACAAAGTCTGATATCTAAACGTAAAATGGCACAATTTCTTTATATTTCAAAGCTTTATCATTTAGTCTTTTCAAATCAAAATCAATCAAAAAATATATACAATCCATGCATCAATTTTTTGTTTGTATAATTATTAATACAGGGCTGGATATCTACATGTAAAAAAGCATTTTGCAGGAAAGTAAAACAGGGTTTAATAATGCACAATTTATACTGGTAAACTATTTTTTGTTTTTCATAAGTCACATTTCTAAATTTTTACTATTTTTGGCAGTTCAAAACACAACATACAAATACATTAATAATTGCATGACCAAATAAATAATCTACCAACAATTAAATTTGATTATTTTAGGCCAAAAAAAATTAAACACTCTGTTAATATAGGCCAAAAAATTCAAAATTCAATGCGGCAGGCAGGCTTTTTTTTTTTTTTTTTTTTTTTTTGAAGCAGGTTTTACACCTTTTTTTTTTTAAAAAGCCATTTGTTCATTAAGATAATGTCTACTAATTCTTAATTTTTGTTCTCTGAAGTTAGTTATAATATGTTTTTAACTTTAAATAATGTTATTCTAAACATTTACTTAAAAGTTAATTCATAAGATATTGTAAATTTAGAAGAAATATATTGTTTTTCTAGACAAAAAGTTTTTAAAGTTTTTTCCTATATATTTCTTTTTATGGAAAAATAAAAATTGAGTTATTTCCCTTTTCAATATGTCAATAAAATTGATCAATGCGGCCGTTTTTGAACAGGTCGAGGAAACTACCTTATATGGATATTGTTGCGATTGCGCACAGAGGTGCTCACAACAAACAATGGTCCAATCCAGTGAATGAGCTGAAAAGCATAAGTGTCTACTACAGGTTTATTTTTACTACAAACACGTGGGTCAGGGAAATTTAGGACGCAATTTCAAATGACTGCAGGAAAGTTAGCTAACAATTTTTTGAAATGTGTTACACTATCCTAAGATTAGGCTTCCACATAAGAATCCCCATGCTCACATTAACAAACAAAGTCAGTTTTCCTTGCTAAATAGTACTTTGAAATACCACTCACAAAGCCTTCACAAGTAAATAAGACTCGAGTTTTTTTAAACTCGATATTCGTTAATTTGCCATGTAACAAGTTAAATTAGTTGTTGCCCAGTCATTTGTTACTAGAAATTAAAAGCTGTATTTTATAAACAACAAAAAAACAAAAGCTTAAGTTGCATTTTAAATTCTCCTGCACATTGATCATAGAACGTGAGCAGCATATATTTCGAAGTTGTATACATTGTAAACATTGACATTACGTGAGCACACCTCAGAGTTGATTGTTTTTGGACCAAGGAATAGTCACATGAAATTGACTTTTCACTGGGCACAGAAAGCTGATCTACAAAAATGTACAATGGATTTCAGAAAACATTTTTATCATTTAAATCATTTGTATGTAAATGTAGCAGAATCAGTAGATAATGATGTTCATATTGTATTGTGTAAAATGCTTGGAAAAATGCATCACATTTTTCCGAGAGCGATTTAAAAAATTGGCCGTTTAGAAACACACGTGTAGTATTTTTGTGGTAAACAATAATGCAACTCATTGAGCTATTGGTCAAATTTGAACAAAATTTTCTTATTTCCCCAAATAACATGAAAATGAAGGGGCCAAAAATATGTCTGTGTTAAGTGACAGAATGAACAACTGTAATTTTTTTTGGATATACAGTTATTGATAAATTATTGGATATTAAAAAAAATTGTTTTATATGCCTACAATTCTATGACTCACTGATGTAAAAAAAAAAATGTTTAATAAACACACATAATATTCCAACACACATTGGGTAATGAAAATTTCCAGTTATTATAAAAATACTGTGAAATCACTATTTTTGACTGCATGATTTGAAGAAAAAAGTTTCAGAAGAAATAATATTTTTTGAAATATGGATAATACATAACTAAAATTTCAGAAAACAAATATTATTTTTAATATCATTAATAAATTACAAGAAAAAACATTGACAAATGTTTAATTTATTTACTTTACATTCATGACTGGAGTAAAAAACAAAATAAAAAAAACAATTGTGGAAATAATATGTTGTGAATTAGTTGTTTTCCAGTGATTTTATTATGTATAGTTACAAAAATTAATGAAAATATTTCTCAGAATAGGCCTATTTTAATGAGAAACTAAAAAAAAGTCAGATCACAGATTTTGTGCATTTAGGCAAATAAGTCTAACCCTTGCTATTTTTAGATGATACAAGAACTGCACATTGACAACTTTTGTGATAACTGCAATTTTTTTTATTTTCTCTTAGAGAATTTAAATAACTTTAATGGCTCAAAAGTGATTAAATAACTGAAATGTAAAATAATCACTAAACATAGTTGGTGATTTACCAGATGTGTTGCATCACTTATTTTTATAGCTCAATGATATACGATCGATGTTGATCATGTCATGATTTACAGACGTCCTGTAAGGAAACAATTCAAATAAATAGTTTATTTTTTCTGAACTCTCAATTTTTTTTTCAAGGATACATAATTGGGAAAAAAAGATTCAAAATTAGGAAAATATGGCTGTTTTTTGTTTGGGAATGGATCCTTTAAACGGACCCAAAAACAAGCCAGGAAAACCCCTAATTCGGCTCCTCTGGTCTTCTGTTCTGGTCTTTATGTCACTTCAATCTCTTTCATGAACTTGCAATAAAACCATGAACTTGCAATAAAACAACTAATTGAGTCCTGAAATGGCTAAAGATTCTTATTGCCTCTATGTTCAGGGTCTGCAAATTGACTGTGTTAATATTAATGCAAACTACACATACACACAGATGCACACACAAGATACAAAATAAAACTTAAAATTCAAAAGCAGTAAGAAAGAATTAATGAATCTGACACCATAAAATGTATTATCATTTACCTGTTATCCAGTAAAAACCCAACAATTTGAAAGCAAAACAGACACAGCATCTGCAGTTGATGGATCAGAGGTTTTCTTACAGTAGGTCTACTACTTTGAATTTCTTTTGATAAAATGTTTACTACATTTCCACTAACTGTTGACAAACTATCCCAACTCATAAAGTAAGAATCAGAAAATTGTTCTGCATCAAAAATCACAAGGTTGCAATTTAGAGTCTCAAAGTTTTCAGTCACTTTACAAGTGATATTCCCATCACGATTACAATGCAGATCAATGAAAAGATCTTTTGTTGGTTTATGTGTTCCTTCTTCATCTGTTTTTAACTCAGTTTCATCCAACTGACTGAATATACCTATTGACTTTTCACATCCTTTTACATTGTTAAAGATGTCTGAAATGAGGACAAAGCTGTTTTCTTCTATAACTTTTCCAAAGAGATGACATGACGATTTGTTTAAAATGTGAGATGGTACAAATACAGTCCACATAATGTAAACAGTTTGTCCTTGTTCTATCATGATGAATGGAACGGTAGTCCTTTGTATTTTATCAACACTGACTTCAGTAAGTTCATGAATGTAATGTACATCTTGTTGAAGTTATGGTTTCACATATCCATTTGTTAGCGGGTTTTTCCTTTAAATGCCTTTTTTTTAAAGTTACAATTTCTTGCGTCAAAAAGGAAATATAGAATTTCAATAAATCCAAGGATAAGACTCCAAAACTTCGTATCCTCGCGGCCATAAGTTACTTTCACTTTAACAGAGTATATCGATCCCGATTTTTTATATACACGTTTAAAAAAACTTCTTTAAAAAATGAGTTGTTCATATATGGACTTAAAATCTAAATACGTAGAACATGTAAAAAATAAAAAATAAAAATTAAATATCATATGTCATGTAACATCTTTCAACAATATTTTCAGCATGCATCCCTATCCCGATCGAGAAGGATTACCAGTGCAACGTGTTCAATTTGTCAAAACAAGCCTAGTGTCGATAAAGTGTGCATCGTCAGACACGTTACCCGGACGATAAAATATATTGAATATTATTGTAAGTATAAGGTCATATTTGATTAATTTTAGGAGACTGATTAAGAAAAGGGTTCTAACTTGAATAACTTCTATATCCTGTTTCACGCTACAGCTGTAAACATGGTTCGAATTTCCTCTTCATGTATTATTAAAATTTTGTTTATTTATTAAAATCCTTCGAACATACTTCATGTTCCTAAACATAATAAAGACCCTTCTTTAATTTGTTTTTTTGTATTCATTTACTGAGATTTTTATCAGTTATGGTCAACCAAAAGTTATTTTTCTGCTGTAAATATTTAAGATTATTTTTTCAGCTGTGATGAAAAGGTTTATTGACTATCTTGAACAATGCCTCACCGAATCTGGGTTCAGGGGAACTGTTGCTGCTGTTATGTATGGGACATGTTCTGTCTCCATGGCATTTATAAACAAAGCATTGATGACATCATTTGAATTTGACTACCCAGTCTTCATCATGGTGATGCAGATGTTATTTACTATAACACTCTTGGAGGTTTTATCCTGTGTGAATCTCATCGATATGCCACGATATACCCTACAACGTGGAAAGTCATTTGCATTACCTGCCTTCTTTTATGGAGTGAATTCAGTTTTAGGACTAAGTGCACTCAGTCACATGAATGTTGCCATGTATGGCGTTCTCAAAAGGTGTGTTCCTCTTGTGACTATGTTTTTATCCGTGGCTGTTTTGAGAAAACCTGTTCCAAGCAAAACAACAATTTTATCAGTTATTCTGTTGACTATGGGATGTGTTATAGCTGGTGAGTGGTATATATATACATGCATAGCTTAACTATATTCAAATTCGTGATATACTTAAAGTCGTAATTAATTAATTTACTGAAATGCAAGTGATTATCTTTTAAATCCATTGACATAAACTGAAACTAAATTTTATTGAAATTTACCTGATTTCTTGGCATATAATGTTATGATGTTATTAATTTATATACAGGTTACGGTGATTTGAAGTTTAACTGGCTGGCCTATACCTGTGGAGCCTTAAGTAACCTGTCACAGTCTCTGTATCTTCTCCTTGTACAGAGGTATTGTGAGAGAGACATCAGCACGGTGGAAACTCTCCAACTCAACAGTGTCAACACTCTGCCATTTCTAACCATTTACATGTGCCTTAATGGGGAAATATTCAAGGTCACCAACTATAGTACGGAAAAACCTTTGACCTTTTTCATAGTTTTCGTTCTTGCTGTAAGCATGGGCTGCCTTCTGAATTACACCTTATTCCTGTGTACCAGTTTGACATCTGCATTGACTACGAGTGTTGTGGGTGGACTTAAGGCTATGGTGCAGACTTTATTCGGGTTGTTTACATTTGGAGGCATCAGTCACAATTTTCCTACCTATATTGGCATATCAATGAACTTATCTGGAGGTGTATGGTATATTTATGACAAATACTCAGAAGGACAAAGATCTGCTCCTGGATCACATGTCATGAAGAAAATTACGAGTCTTTCTACAGCAGAAGATTTCCACAGACTTGCAACATTGCAGAAGTCTTATGGTAATGGCATGAGGTCTTCTGGTTTACAATCCATCTCAGAGGAATCTCACCAGAGGCATCCTTCTCATTCTGACGACACTGTGATATCATTTGAACAATCAGATCCAAGAAATTAATATATATCTAAATTTTCCTCTTCTGTTACATATACATAAGATGTTAATGCAGTTTGTTTTTTTTTCTTTTATTTTAATATGTATTTAATATCTATTTGGGTGTGAGCTGTGTTTTCCCACAATACTAATATACATTCCAAATTATACCCTGTTATACATGTATATTTTTACATCATATATCTATATTTTTCTACTGAACTTTTTAACTGTTGCCCTTGTCTCCTTTTACTATGCAGTAGACTATTTAGTAGAATATTTAAGTGTTATCATGAAATCCATTTAATATTTCAAATCTACAAATAACTCACAGACACTTGTTTCTGTAATAAATTTTTTAATTATAACTGCATGTATACTAAACATTAAAAATTTAATATGAAAAGTTAAAAATTATTACAGAAACAAGTGACTGTGGTATAACTGGTAATTTAAAAGAAAGTACTAGGATATAATGAAAAAATGATTATAGTCATGTTAATGTGCCATGTTAAAATTTTAATTGTTGCATGTACCAACATATAACGGGTATTCTCCTACATATCAGAATTTTTGCAAAAAGATGGCAACATATTGTATTTACTTATAATTTGTGTAGTCCTTGCAATTTCACCATTGGAGTGATAGAAATGCATGTATCTGTCTTGTATACAGTTTAATTTTGGGGGGATTTGGAAAGATTGCAAAGAATGTGAAAACTGGATATTCACAAAAATATGAAATAAAGAGAAAAATGAAGTAGAAAAATTTGTAAAGCTTTGCTGTTGAAAATTCATTGTTAAGTTTACTGCAAATGATAAATTTTTCATTTTGTTTTTAGAAATCTATAATGACAGTAATGACAAACATTTTATTTTTGGTCAACTTCATAACTACAGTTGAACTTTGGTATCTGAAACACCAATATGTCAAATACCATGGATATGTCAAACTGATTTGGAACTCCAAACCACTTGTTCTTTAAGTATTTTACCCTTGATATCTCGAACTTTGGATATCTTCATTCTTGAGGATTGTTCTAGGTCCCATCGAGTTCTAAATAACAAAGTTTGACTGTACGTATATGTCTTGTTTTTATTGACAAAGGCTCTGCCATTATTGTCTTTTGTGGAACTGTATTATTTTATCAAACTTAATAGATATAGATATCTAACAAACTTTATTGTTCATCCTGACACTTGGCCCTAAGGATGTGTTACTGTATAGTTATATAGTTTTAAAAGTAATTTTAAGGGAATGAAATGTCAATTTTAGATTTCTTGAAAGCCTGCATTTTCCTATACACAGAACAAAATATAGAGTTTGTTTTTCTTTCAATCATTAGAAATCCTTTATGCATAGAGGGTATACTCGGTAGCTAAAGCAAACTAGTGTTAATACAGTGAAACACGGTTATAGCGAACATGCTTATAATGAAATGATGTTTATAAGGAGGAGATTTTTATTCCCCATGGGTTTTAATTATATTGTAAATGTAACAGATTTAACAAATTATGATTATAATGAAGCATAATTCTGTGTCTCTTGCACTTCGTTATAAGTTCGTTTTACTGTACTGTTGCTGAAGGCATATATAAACAGTGTTTGAACTAGCCTGTCTGTAAGTGCAGTAGTCAAATTGAGGGCTGTTGATTGTCAGATAAATATTTTCTATATGTTTAATGTTTTCCATATTTAATAAATAATTTTATTTTTTGGCTGAAATGTATTATTCATGATTCATTCATATTACATTTTAGAAAAAGACAGGGACATTGTTGCATTGCATGTTCTGTTATTTCATCTCAAAAGATTTATCGAAGATTTACATTGTACAAATATCTATTTTAGTACAATGAAGCGCATTGAAGTGGTAAAATTTTCCGTTTGACTGGAACGTTTTGAGCTATCTTTAGAAGGATGATTGTCATACAATGACACGCCCATTTCTTTAGAAAGGAAAAATCGTTCAAATGATTCATTCGAATACCTGTGGAACAGGTTTCCATAAATATAATAGCCAATCAGATTGACGGTCTACATAAACACCGATACATGTGTTATGGTAACTCCAACAAACATGATAAAGTAATAATTATGGACAAAATTGTTGCAATACGTGTTTTACAGAAGCGGGAACTCTATAAATCTCTCTTATAACTCTAAAAATCTCCATTTCGGTGTAACTCGTGTTGCTTGTCACGAAGAGCGGGGTGTCCTTAAACATTACGACGAATGTTTCTTTTTCGTTGCTAAAGAAATGGGCGTGTCATTCTGTTATAATTGACGTTCAAAACATGACTCAGAATATTTCATCCAAACAGAAAATTTTACCACTTCAATGCGCTTCACTGCACTATAAAACATATTGTTTTCCTACGTGGTAGTCACATAAGCTATGACATGTGGAAACAAACCACAGATAGCAAACTGAAAGATAATTATAAAAGAACAAATGGTAGCAGCTGATGTCAATCCCTGCATACAGTATTAATTTTGTGTGACAAATAAAATATTGATAACATTCAAAATGTCGTTTAACGTCTATATATACATACTACAGAAATAGTTTCTTCCACTCACGTGTCTACTCGATATATACCAATGAACTTAAGGACATCTCATCTAGGCAAACATTCAATGCCCTCATCCTTCGTGTATCAAATGCACTAATTAGAAATTTTCCATGCTAGTGGACATAATTATATATAAGCAAGCATTACCTTTGCCATCAGCCCTCATGTATCAGGTGCTAGTGAGCATGTTTTATGCTAATATAACCGCCTGTTTTGGTACATTTCTCACGATTATATTAATGTGCAAAGTTTATATTTATACACAAAACAAAACAAGGTTTAAGAGGTTCAGTTGGTTTAATATTTAACATATCAATAATCCATAAAAAACATGAACACATAGAAAAAATATATACAATAATGTAAATCTCAAAACTCATACTTGTTTGGCGCTCTGGGGGCTACTCATTACTTTCTCTACCTTTCCTTCCAACTCTTAACTGCGATCAATAAATAAAGCCACTCCAACCTGATCTCGAAACAATTAGACCCAATTCTGCCTAGAGCTGATCCCTAAAGGCAAGCCCAAAAACAACTCCGGGCTGATCCCAGGAGTGCACAATGCCTGGGGCTGATCCCGGCAGGCTACTAACAAGACAATCCTCTGGGCTGATCCCAAGAGGATGCTCAACAAGAAACACGCCTAGGGCTGATCCCTAGAGGCAAGCACAAATCGCCACTCCGGGCTGATCCCAGGAGTGATATGCCTGGGGCTGATCCCAGCAGGCCACGAAAACCTGACGGACCTCTGGTCTGATCCCGAGAGGATGTAAACAAGATACCTAGCCTTGGGCTGATCCCTAAAGGCTAAGTAGAACCCACACTCCGGGCTGATCCCAGGAGTGCATCACGCCTGGGGCTGATCCCAGCAGGCTACATAACCAGACAAATACCTTCGAGTACAAACTATGGGCTAATCCCATTGTTTTGATGCATAAAATATAACCATTCTTATATACATGTACTACACTATACAATCGAAGTATTTAAACAGAACAAATCCACTTCAGACACACAAAATTTAAATATAAGTAATATTGGGGGCAAAATTCCCCTGGAATGAACGCCATGAGCAGCCCCAAAGAGAGCCAAGGGCGCTGTAGGGGATGGAGGGTGGGTAGCTTCTGCACAATAGTCCGTGACTTCCAGGTTCCAACTGCAATTGCCAGACTCCCCCTCTAGGCATCAATGCCCCTGGCTACTCTTTTCTTATTGGTCAATCCAAAAAATACCCCATAAACAAAAACTATTTATAGAAACACATCCTGATTACATAAAAAATAAAATGCAACAAATTTAGTTCAGTCACAAAGGCTAGAAAAGACAATTTGTGTATAAATAATAATTTAATGTCATTAAATATCAATTTATACACAAAACAAAACAAGGTTTAAGAGGTTCAGTTGGTTTAATATTTAACATATCAATAATCCATAAAAAACATGAACACATAGAAAAAATATATACAATAATGTAAATCTCAAAACTCATACTTGTTTGGCGCTCTGGGGGCTACTCATTACTTTCTCTACCTTTCCTTCCAACTCTTAACTGCGATCAATAAATAAAGCCACTCCAACCTGATCTCGAAACAATTAGACCCAATTCTGCCTAGAGCTGATCCCTAAAGGCAAGCCCAAAAACAACTCCGGGCTGATCCCAGGAGTGCACAATGCCTGGGGCTGATCCCGGCAGGCTACTAACAAGACAATCCTCTGGGCTGATCCCAAGAGGATGCTCAACAAGAAACACGCCTAGGGCTGATCCCTAGAGGCAAGCACAAATCGCCACTCCGGGCTGATCCCAGGAGTGATATGCCTGGGGCTGATCCCAGCAGGCCACGAAAACCTGACGGACCTCTGGTCTGATCCCGAGAGGATGTAAACAAGATACCTAGCCTTGGGCTGATCCCTAAAGGCTAAGTAGAACCCACACTCCGGGCTGATCCCAGGAGTGCATCACGCCTGGGGCTGATCCCAGCAGGCTACATAACCAGACAAATACCTTCGAGTACAAACTATGGGCTAATCCCATTGTTTTGATGCATAAAATATAACCATTCTTATATACATGTACTACACTATACAATCGAAGTATTTAAACAGAACAAATCCACTTCAGACACACAAAATTTAAATATAAGTAATATTGGGGGCAAAATTCCCCAGGAATGAACGCCAAATGAACGAAGTAATGAGTGAAGCCCCCAAGAGTATTTATATTATAGAACAATGTTAATTGAATATTTGTAACAAATTTTTTTTTTTTTTTTTAAAAACACTCAATGAAAACCTTATCTACCACTCATTTTTTCTTGAGCTTCCCTTATGACTTGCGAATTAGTTCTTATATACCTGATATAACAATTTGACGACCATCTACCTAGTTCTTTAATCACATGATCTTCAACACCAGCAGCAGCTGCTGCAGTGGCTGCTCCTATACGGAAAGAATGACCAGCAAAATTATTTACAGGATAACCTAGTCGTAGGAGCAGTTGTCTTAAAAGTTGTACAAATTTTTCTCTTAAAATTGGTGTTAAATTGAATTCACTGTCTACAAAAAGAGGTGAAGATACCAAAAATGGTAGAGACTTGCGAATTTCTAAATATGACATCATAATATGTACAGGTTTCAAATGTTCGTTCTCATAAATTGTAATATCTACACCTCTGGAGAAAGGATCTGTCTTAGAAGATTTTAGTCTCAAAACAAAGGCATTTTTGTCGGATTGCATAACAACATCACCAATCTGTACAAATTCTGAGGAGTTGGTACCTTTACAAGTGATTTCCCCACATCTGAGAAAACCAAAATAGGCACAAGAAAACATACACTTCAACATGAGATCTACAAAAGGGGAAAAAAACCCTTTATCTAACACATGCAAAAGCTGTTGTAAAATGTCAACAGTAATAGGTAAGCGTTTATTATGTACATTCATTTGAGATCTTTTAATTCCTCGTAAAACATATTGTAATTGGTCACAACCCTGCAAAATATCTCCGTAACCTGCTCTTATATAGTGGAAACGAATTCCAGCTAAGTACAATTTAATAGTGTCATGCTTGAGTTTCAACACTGATTTACAATGTGTTACAAAATAAACAAGAACAGTCTCATTTACAGGTGGTAAGCCATCATTTAAAAATGTTACTCCATTCATTTGCATGAATGTTAAAAAAGTCTGAAAAGCGGAACTGTACGTCTGCTTGGTAGAGTGGCTTAAGGACTTGTCCCATAAATCCTGTACTGCTTGCTCTAATCCATCAACATCTCGGAATGATGCAGGCAAGGAATGGGCTCTGGATCGGAGTGTGGGGCCAGGCATCGAAATCTCTCCATCTGATAACGAGAAATAGAGTCCGCTATTGAGTTTTTTATGCCCTCAATATGTTTTGCATGAATGACATAATGATTACTTGCTGCATGAAAAGTCAATGTCCTCATTAATTTCATGATGCTATTAACTTTGGATCGCCCTTTATGAATTATGTCTACTGTTGCCCTATTGTCACAGTGAAATAAAATTCTTTTCCTTTGCCAATTATGCCCCCACAGAAGACAAGCCATAACAATCGGATATAGTTCAAAGAAGGCCATTGAAGTTTACTCTTCCAGAATTTCAGGTGCGAAGTGTCCTTGGAACCATTTGTTTTGATAGAATCCTCCAAATGAAACAAGTGTTGCATCTGTATACAACTGCATATCTGCAGCTTCAGTTATGTTGTCATTGATGAAAAAGGATACACCATTCCAAGAACGTAAAAACTTCGCCCACATGGTGAGATCCGCTCTACACATGCTGGTTAGATGAACATGGTGATGCAGCATTTTGACGGAGGTAGACACTGATATCAAATGTGAAATGAAAGAACGGCCTGGAAGGATAACCCGGCATGCAAAATTCAGATGTCCCAGGAGACTGAGTAGTTCCCTTTTCGTGCATGCTTTGCGATGAAGAAAAGATTCTACTATTTCAGAGATTCTTATAATCTTTTCTCTCGGTAATCTTGCTTCCATACGTACAGTGTCTAAAAAGATTCCCAAGTATTCTAGCTCTGTGCAAGGTCCTTCAGTTTTCTTTGCAGATAGAGGTATGCCTAGTTTGTTGAAAATGTCCAGGAATCTTTGCATTATTTCACTCGCATTGTTGTTCTGAGGCACGATGACCAGAAAATCATCCAAAAGATGCAAAATATTGGAAATATTGTACTTATTTTCTGCAATCCAGCAAACTGCTGAAGATAAATGGTCGAAAATCTTTGGGCTAGAACGACTACCAAATACTAAGCGTTTGAAGAAATAGTACTTCTTGTTCCATTTCACACCATGATACGGCCAAAGTTTGTGACATATGGGCATTATTTTGAATGCATCTGTAATGTCAGTTTTTATCAGTAGAGCTCCTTTCCCCAAATTTTTTATAAGCCGAATAGCATCGTCAAGGGTAACATAGCTTAACGAGAATTCTTCTTTGTCTATCAGCTCATTCAAACTAGGATGCATCTCATCATTATGAGGTGCTGACATGTCTACAATAAGGCGTTTCTTTTTGGAATACTTGCTTTCAGCCACTCCAATGGGGTTAATGCGATAATGAGAGAAAGGAATTTGGTCAAAGGGTCCATAAAGATATCCTTTGCTTACTTCCACTTGAATTAGCTCAGTAACCACGTCTGGTTGTAACGTTGCAGATCTTAAATTCTTGCATTCAAATGATTTATCTGGAATGATCTGTATACCTGTGTGGAAACCCTGCTTCAAACCATGTAGTAAATAGTCTGTGAAAGTCTTATTTGGATGATCAAACAACATGTTTTGTAGTACATCAATATTTACAGGTGTGGTGATCTCCGAATTGAGATTGCTAATCACAGTTTCTGTTGATTCGAGGCCCCAGTTTGGGGCCATTGAGAGTTTTTTGAACTGTCGCATTTCAATCTAGAGTGATCTCCCTTACAATCAATACAAATATGAGCATTCCTACAACGAGCAAGCGCACATCCTTTTGCCCCATTAAAGTTGTTACAAATCTCTCTTCCTGCACTGAAATGACGTTTCCTTCCATATGAATCTATGTCTCTATCCCCTTGTTTTCTGTCTACAGATGTCTTAGACAGAGGGCAAAATCCAGACAAATGCAAAGTGCTGTTGCACCAAGAACAAGTTTGTGCTTTGGCATTAGCGAAAATGTTGCAGAACAACGTATTGTTGCGAACTGACCAGTCCACCAGTATGTTGTTGAACTTCAAATGTGAAGCCGCAATTAAGCTAAACTGTCTGTGATATTCGTAAAACCCTTTACCTGGGTAACGTGTGGCCATTTCCACTATGTCTCGCTCGTATAGATCCAATTCCGTTCTCCTTTGTGGGTATGAATTACACATTATGTTTTTGTAGATTCCGAACGCCTGTATAAACTCCCCCAGTGTCAAGACTCTTTGAAGCCTATAATCCGTTTTTGTGTCGGTGGCTTTGTCTTCTGTAGTAGGAGCATAATAGGGAATTAATAAGGCGGCAAGATTAACATCCTTACCTGCCGTTATCTGCTGTCTTAGTTGGGGAGAGATCGTCTCCACTAAGGGGAGAGATTCTGCCGCGTAGCCATATCTAGTCCTAGTGTAATCGGGCCTGCCCAGTTGAGCTTCAGATCCGGCCGCCGCCGATACAATGCGTGGTGTTGAAGTCTGCATGGCCGTAATAGCTGACGAAATGTTGAAATTGTTTGATATTTCTGTAGTGGCCACATTTTGTCCGCTGCTAGGATCTAGAGCTGTTGTTACACTTACAGTTGGATTCACCGTCGGCGTTGTGATCGTGGAATTTGGCAGCGGTGTATTTGTAATTTCGCTGGGTCTCGAGTTCACATCAGTAGATAGAGACGTCGAGGTCAAGGTGTTAACTCTGGAAGTCAAACTAATTACATTCTGCTGTAAGTTCTGTACTGTAGAGGTCAGCTTCGTGACAATGTCTATTAGTTCTCGACCGCCGCCATTGTTGTTTTGCTGCACGGAACTCTGGGATCGCGCACTTGTCTCTGTTCTATTAATAGACTCTTGTTCCACTAGACGTATCAACACTGATCTACGTGCGGTCTGTGGGAAGTTTATTCCGCGATTATTCAAAAACTCTTTCAATCGGGAAACATGCCAGTTTGCGGGGAGTTCTGGATCATACGGGGCAGGTCTTGTGGATCGTTTAGGTCCCATCTTACGAAGTTACGTAACGTTATTATTATGAAACACAAAGTCAGTCGAATTCGTCTCAGAAATACTACATATAAACGTCAAAAGTTCCTATAACATATCAAAACATCTAATACACACGCATAACAGGTTTTAAAAGTAATCCATTTTGTGAATGGTAGAGAAAATCGAAGATATTAGCTTCTGCACAATAGTCCGTGACTTCCAGGTTCCAACTGCAATTGCCAGACTCCCCCTCTAGGCATCAATGCCCCTGGCTACTCTTTTCTTATTGGTCAATCCAAAAAATACCCCATAAACAAAAACTATTTATAGAAACACATCCTGATTACATAAAAAATAAAATGCAACAAATTTAGTTCAGTCACAAAGGCTAGAAAAGACAATTTGTGTATAAATAATAATTTAATGTCATTAAATATCAATAGGCAATCCTTTGTAACGGGAAATGGAAAATGCTGCCGACCGGTTACATCTCTCGCCGTACCACACCGCGGAAGCGACATACATCTAAATACCCCATTCCATACGACGAAAATTTGTTAATGCATGCAAATTTACATAAAAGTAAATCTACACACGTAATTAAGGCCATTCCAAGTTTTTTTCTGTTTAGCGTCCACCCATCTTTCAAAAACCTACCTACCTATTCGCAAAAAACACACAAGCCAAAACATAAAACTCGGGCTTAAAAGTCATAAAAATGACCCCTTCAAATGATTTGATCTAACTAAACTGCTTTAATAGAAGAAATAGCTATTCTTAAGCAAAAACAAGGGATTAAATTCTTAAAATACACCCAATATAACTTACTTTACAGAATTATTTGGAGAAATTGACAAAATTAAAAAATTTGGACTAAATTAATCAATTTCAGGACTCCTGATGTTGTGTATTTTCTTATATGGGGTGTCAAAACAAAAGCGCACGCGGACGCTAAACATAGAAAAAGCTTGGAATGGCCTAAAAGTTAAATTGCTATATGCGTTCAGACGAGATTTATGCACTGTTAGTAAATCTTCATATTTTTACATAAAATAAGGGAATGGACAGATGAAAAAGGGTATTTCCTTAAAGAAACTGCGGGGGGGGGGATACGACCCACTGATTTATTGGTATGAAAATAAACCCAAAGTTAATGACTTTAAGGACAAAGAATTGTATAAGAATTTAAACACGAAGAAGGAAAATTTATTAGATATTTTTGTTTAATGTTGGAAAATGGTTTGGCTTGCCTTTGGACATAAAGGCTGTAGAAGAGCCATTGGGTGTAAAGAAAAAGGTGACTGTTGCCATCTACAGGTTAACGTCTTCAGCCATAATAGGACTATTGGAATCTTTTTGGTGTTGAGAAATATATAGTACATAAAGTGTGCGAGGCCATTATACAATATCTGCTGGAATATGATAATTATGTAATTTCCAGAGGAATAAAAAGGATGAAGAAAACTAACAGTGATCGGTCTCAAAAATCTTTGAACAATACAAATATGTGAATAGGAAATTAACAAAAACCCATGGACATTCATGGTGGGATCAGGTGCCAAGAATACTCACGAATGCCTAATTTCAACGAGTTTATTGAAATTCCTGTAACATTAACTAAGATGTGAGTAGCTCGCCTGAATTAAAAACAGAGAAAGGTAGAAGAAAGTCATCAAGAGCTAAACGGTAATGGGCCCGAGCGATTTATGGAATGCATGTTCCTATCATACATAGCTCTCGAGCATTTCCAGAAGACATCTTGCATAGCGAATAGTAAGGACACTACTTTTTGATCCTTCAGGGCACTTATTTGCGACCACAGCTATATCTTTATAGACATAAACAAAGGTTTGCTTGAAACGGTGCAAGATGCCCTCGTTTTTGCAAATTCGAAAATTTATCTCGGAGGAGATAATGACTCCTTGGTCAGAGTTTTGCCTTCCAGATACCTTTTTTACCAACTAATATTTTACATGCATGCATACACAACCAAAACAACACTTAAAATGGATATTTATGCAATAAACAAAACGAAATACATACATTCTATCTCTTTGCTGCGTGTTCAAGCGACAAAATTAACACACATGAACTACAAAGTGTATGCAAAAGTTAATTTGCACCTAGTCCTGACTAGGTTTAAATTTACTCAACTGCGCAGAATTTGCATGAGTAAATCAGTTCATACGACAAAAATTGCACATGTGAGTAAATTTACTTACAGTATGTGAACAATATATATATTTTTTTTGGAGAGCTACAGTTCCGCAGCTAGTGTATATTGAGGTATGCAATTCATGTCGTATGAATGGGGTATAATACCCTATTCATACGACGAAAAATTGCTTGTATGTAAATATACTCATGTGTAATTTTACACACATAAGTAAAATTTAATTTGCTATGCGTTCAGAGGAGATTTATGTACTATAAGTAAATCCTTATATTGTCATCAAACATAGTGAGGTGAACTGATTTAGAATTGTGAATTTTCATTGAATAAGGGTATTTTCTTTCTATTAGACTAACTTTTTAGTGTTCCATAAAGAAAGTAGAAAAAATCTGATCCACTAATTCAATGGTATGACGAAACCAAACGTAACGACTTTAAGGACAAAGATTAGTGTTGAAATTTTCACTGAAATGATGAAGGAGGATGTCTTAAAATTTTGCTTAAAAATGTTTTGCCACGTCCCAAAAGACTCTAGAAGAGTAAAGAAAAAGGTAGTTATTGCCATCTACTGGTTGGCATCTTCAGAGAAATATAGGACAACTGGAAATCTTTCTGGTCTGGGGAAATCTACAATGCATGATTGATGGTAGCCGAAGGAAATAAATAACTATTAGAGTATTCATTCAAAATCTTCAAACACGATTGTCGAAATCTGTGTAACATCAACTTATCTGTCAGTAGCTTGCCTCGGTTTAAAAACTGAGAAAGGTTGAAGAAAGTTATCAAGAGTTAAACTGTGGTGGGACTACTAGTATATCTTTACTTTTAGAGACATAAACATATGTTTGCCAGGAAGGGGCATGATGCCCATGTTTTTGAAAATTCGTAAAAAATATCTAGGAGGAAATAATGGCTTCTTGTTTCCAGAGTTTAGATGGTCGTTTGGGGGAAAGTATTGAGTTCGGCGACCAAGCGTACCCTTGAAAGAATTGGCTTTTGAAGCCACACACCAAAAGATTTACCTTTACAAAAACTCAATTCACCTAAATTTATCGTTTAAGTGGAACAAGGATGCCCATTTAAAATCCGTGTTTTTAAAGCATTGGTATCTAGCCGCCATGTTTACCAACTGATATTTTACACTCCATGCAATGCATATACACCAGTAGCAACGCGTAAGATGGGGATTTTGCTATAAGCACTACGATAACTTACACAAATAAAGTTTGCAGTGTGTTCATACGGAATTTACACACGAGAACTAATAATTTGCAACAACATGTATGCAAAAGTTAATTTGCACCTAGTCCTGACTATGTGCAAATTTACTCAACTATGCAGAATTTGCATGTGGGCAAATCAAATCAGTTCATACGACCAAAGTTGCACATACAACATTGTATATGTACATTTACATATGTGTAAAATATACTGAGGTACTGAGTATGCAAATCGTGTCGTATGAATGGGGTATTATACCTTTTAGGGAAGATGTGTCGGTGTCTTCGTTGGCCGAAGACTTTCAAGGAGGGAGGAATGTGGCTGTCAGGAGGGTTCGATCGCTGGTGGTAAGGTAGCATAGATGGTATTGACTGATGATTCAGGTGGCACGGGTTCGAATCCTAGTCTGGTCCGCTGCATTTTCTCTCTCGCTACACATTTATTGCTTCCAGTCTTCATGCATTAGGTGCTAGCAGGCATATAGTGAGCATTTCTTGCCCTCAACCTTCATTTTTCTGGTGCTACTGAGAATGTTTCATACAGACAAATTTCACATGCCTTCAGCCCGCAGTTTAGCAATTCCACAAAGTAATTTTTATCTTGTACGAGTCTTTTTTGTTGGCGATTTTGCTAAATACTCTTCTGTGTTAGCTAGATTATCCTAACGCTTAACATGTTGATGCCTTTATGGTGTCTTGGGGAAATACAATGATATATCGTTATATTTCCATTTCTAATTTTTTTTTTCTCTGTGATAACCCTTTGAAAGTTAGCGGATTTGATATCTTGATAATTCTACCGGAATGTAAATTAGGCAGGTCAATGGGTCAGAGCTAAGGAGGCCCATTGTGCATGCAAATCCCGTGCGCATCTGTCTCTGTGCCTGACGCTAAGGAGGCCAATTATGCATGTAAATCTCGTGCGACTGCCTTTGTGTTTGACGTCAGTGGGCGAGGACTATAAAAATTGGCATTGAAGTCCTCGTGTAATTTTAATCTATGTCTACATAAAGTACATTTTAAGAATCTAAATCTACAATTTTATTTTACAGTGAAATGGAAATTGAAATATAAGGAATCACCAACAATAGTGGGAAACGTAGGATAATTTATGCAAAACGGGCTTCGTTTCCCACAGTGGTTGATGCCCTGGCATACTATACTAACTAGACAGTGATTCCTTAAATTATACAGTTAAAGTATATCATTGAGGGAGTTAACAAGATACCAGTTCCCCAAGGCCAGGACTATTTCCCGAGGAGCAGGATTACGAATGACGGGGATTAGTCCGTTATCATATTAAACAGATGCAAAAGTAAAATGTAGAGGATTATGGATAACCGGGGAATTAGCTTCCGAAGCAGGGATTAGCTCATTTGATTTACGCAGGGGAATTATTCCATTTACTGGGATTTTTAGGGAATTATTCACATATTACTGCTTAAACTTTTAAAAAGGAAAAATGAGTAGAGGTTAAAAATAATACTAAAGTGATTTTACTAGTCTTAACCACTTATTTTTAAAGTATATTTAACCCCTTATATAATATCTTGAATCCTCGGATATATCAAAGTTTTTTGGGGTCTTATTGAGTTTTTTTTAATACAAACTTTTATTCACAAAATAAAGTGAATGGGATTGGTCAGCACGCAAAATCTTTTTAACACTCTCCCTAGAGTTCGAAATAACAAGGTTTGACTGTATTTTCACCCCCCCCCCCCCAAATATATCCATAATAAATGTTCTTGTTTTTCAATATTATTGCTCATTGGGTGATATTTAACCATTTTTTTTTACATTACTGCAAAACAAATACACCAATTTAAAGTTTGAAAGATATAACATAGCCAGCAAAACCCATATATACATTGTAATGCGATAGTATTTGTGTTGCATCTTGTTTTGATTGATTTCTTCACCGAATATTGGTACAAATGACATAGATAAATTCATAATTTTGAACAAATTGTCGTTAGTTTATTAACATGAATAGAATAGAAATTTAAAGGTAAAGAAATATTTCACATAAAATGTTCCAATATCATGCAGAAAAGTAATATACAGTTAGCATTGTACATAATAGCCTGGGACTCAGATTAAGCTAACATCGTACATAATAGGACTCGATTAGGTCCTAGTCTCTGATCGAGGTAATAAAAGTAATCAGTATCGTTTACAAAATATAGGTAACTTGGGGAAAAAAATTAAAAATGTACATGTAGTAAATAAATAAATTAATGAATATTAAAGTAATTGTTAATTATTCCTGCTGATACCAGTCATTGTTCATTCTTGAATTCATTAGCACTCGGTTCCCAGAGGTTCGTTTATTATCGGTTTTCCACGCAGGGCCAATTTCTTCACCTTTAAAAAAAATGGAAAATTTTATTTCATAAGTGAAATATATAAAATATATAAAACTTTAAAAAAAAAAATAACCATTAAAGATGCAGAATTCGTAACATAAATACCTGTGAATATATTATATTTTGGTCGCACAGGTAATTCTCTTTCGACTCCAGGTCCAATCATTTGACCTAGTTTTCCGTGTATGCGGTTGTACTGTGACCAGTAGGTGGGGGCATTCGGATCAGTGTGCACTGTATTTCGCATGTCCTTGCCCTCTGTCTGGTCAATCCGATTGACCAGCGATGTCAGATGAAGACGATTTGCCTGTGAAAAAAAAACACTATAAGCATCATTCTTTTTGGTGAATATATCATATAATACGCAACTTGCGCTGAAACAAGAAAAAAAAAATTCAGTATGATAGGAGTCTAAAAGTTCTCTGGGATTTTGTTCCTTGCTCCCATCCCCATACATGTATATGATCAATTCCCGGCACACCTTTTTTTCCATCACCTGAAAACACACTTCAAGCATTTCAACTTGACTTCATTTTTTTTTATCGTGCTCTAAAACATAAAAATATCTTTTTTCAATACCATTGAATTTAGCATTATGAACTTTTACACACTAATTTTCATCGATAGTTTTTAGTATGATTTTCAAAGAAAAAAAAAGAAAACTAGAAGGTTATTTCAGACACTTTCAAAATATTTGCTACGTGAGATAATTTAAAAATTTTAAAACAATCTCATTTAGGACCCGGTATCATTATTCTTATCAAATATTGTTGACCTATTGACCTGAAAGAATTATATACACGTGCCCCCCCCCCCCCCCTCTTCCCCGATCTTTCCGGATTTTTTTTTTAACGTTTTTTTTAACCGAAAAAATTGTATCCATGCCTTGTAAATAAATAAAGGTTTTTGAAAGGACCTAATTTTTTCAGAGCAAAGAATGCTTATTCTTAGGGAAGAAGTTATTTTTTTTTAATCATGAAAACTAAAAACTTGGGACCCAATTCCTCAAATCTGTCTCACCAGTGTGCGTCAGGGAAATATGGGTGATTTGTATCAATTACAATTTTATTGACCCCTCGCTGTGGAAAATTGCAGGGATTTTTTGGCATGAGAAATTTATGTGTAGATACAAGTTTTGTTATGATTTGTATTTTGTTCTTTTAGGGACATTTCATCGTGCAACATGTAGTTAGATTTAAATTCTGAGAATTCTAAAACCTGAATAAATGTAACACACAAACTAAGTTTAGGGAGTGTTACCGTGATCTATTTGTTATGTTCTGCAGTTTTTCATGCATTTCACTCGGCCCCCAAAAATCAAAATTAAAGTCAGTATAATATTACTTCAGTTTCATGCCTGGGCAATAAAATTACAACAAACAGAAACACGGAATAAAGGGGGGGGGGGCTTTTTATGGTTTCAAAATAATTTTTTCTCTCTAGATACTTTTGCCAGCATATATTTTTTTAGAGCTAATATTTACTAATATACATATTTCTACACATTTACTAAAGGACACATTACTTTTGGACGATCTGCAAAGGTTGCAAAAACGTAAATGTATTGAAAAGCAGCATAAATATATGTCATATGAACAAAGCGGGACAACTACTGTACAGGTTATGGACTAGTATCTAGTACACTAGTATCTAGTGACTTACATTCTGCTGGTTTAGAAACCTCTCCCTCTGTAACTAATTAACAATTAACAATGCAATTAAACTAATGAACGTCTTCGTGTACAAGTTCTGAAAGCCAACACAAGAATTAATTGAAAAATGGTACATGTATACATAATTTTGGGGGAAAAAATAAGCAAGAAAAAAATGCACTGCTCAAGTTGAAAATATTTTCATATGAATATGATTGCTTGAAGCTTTTTTTAGGAATTTTTTTTTTTTTTCAATCCCTGTCTGTTTGCCTTCATTCTGCACTGCATTTAAAGAATCTTCCATATTTCTTTGTGAAAATACGGACATTTCTTTTGACCCTATATAAAATATTTTAGCAAAATTGAGGATAGTTGCATATTACTAGTATTTGACAATTATTTTTGACCCACCTTCAAGGTATCATAGCTTGAATCAGTTTTTTTAAAAAAAATATTTTCTAGGTAAAATTTTAAACTCCTTTTGTAGCCTCGAGCTGCTACAAGGGCTATGGTTTTAAACACAAGCACTTGGAAGCTGGACCCCCCTTCCATTTTTTCCATTTAAATCTGCGGTCCACACATCTTTTTCCTGTTTTTGGTAGTCTAATATGCACTACTTGGTATCGATAATGCAACCCTTTTGTCTCTGTAAGACATTTTAAATATATCGTTTTCGAATGATACATAAAAAAAAAATGGAGGGGGTGGGATTCCAGCCCACAAGTGCATGTGATTTTAAACAACTGATTTTGATCTACATGAAAATACATGCGTACCAGTAATTTAAGTCGAACAATTTTAGCTTTGATGATAACAAATATAGGTCATCTGAGTGACTAAGGTAAACTCAAATTATACCAGACACAATCCGGTATTATATATAAACCTAAATACCAGACGGGTATAGTCAAGTACCAGACACATACGGGTATGATGTCCTTTTCGAAGTAAGTCTTGGTATACTGAGTATCAAATGTCGTGTCCTGCATGTTCTGGCCGATGGTCCACTGCGATCTGTGCATGGAGGGACACAGCGGGGGTCTCCGGACGGGGTTCAGCTTCTTACTCCCGCTGTAATACTGAAACCAAGAAAAGCATATCATGGTTAATTAACGAGTTTATACAAGAGTACAACACTAAGTACTGTACTACTTTAAAAAAGCTGTTAAACAATCATGTCTCTTCTTTCGGTTTTTCGAATAAATAGAGTATCTACATGGAAAAAGGGAATTAACTCATTTTTTGTAACACCCCCCTCTTTCCTCACCTCTTAGGTTTATATCTTAAACTTAACCCCCCTCCCCCCCCCCCCCCCCGCCCCGCCCCTTTGTAATATAATTGAAATAACTACTAGTATTCAATCATAAAATCCTGTCAGTGCCATTTATGTCAATCTAAGAAAAAAGTGTGATATTATGCCAAAAAACACACAAAAATTGTCAACTAGATCTATAGACCTAAGCAACTGTTTGATTAAAAAGCAGGGATCTTGTTCAAAAAATTGATTTGTTAGATCTAGACAATAGTGACATATTAAAATTATTCCAACCAACCTCTACGATATGAAAACTTGGGGCAATAATATATTTATAAAGGATGTCCTTGATACCATGAATTATAACCGACCTACCCGAAAGCCATCATCCATGACACTTGAATCTAATCCAAAGTCATTGAAAAATCATATTGTCTGCAGATCACAACATGGAAAACGGCCAGGTTATTAAATTGAACAGAATTTGCTGAAGCAGGCACAATCAATTTGCATTGAAAAATCAATTTTTTAAACAAAAATGAATGATGAAATTCTTTAAAAACAGAGGCGTGTTTGAGGAAACGAATGCCGGATACCCTGTTGTTTATAGACTCTTGGTAACTAGGAATTGATCAAGCAGAGCAGACGGTAGAGTTGTGTGTCTGCTATCTCCAGCAGACGTACTTATTCTTTTATATTTACTTATCTCAAAATCTCAAATAACACAACATTTAGTAATTTTATCCTCCTTGTTTTATCGATTTATTTGAAGCTCATTTGATTTGTATCTGAATGAATTTAAAACAATATGAACGTTAATTTGATGGCTATCCTTCTTCAAGGTCTTTTAAGATTTTTTGGAAAAATTGCGGAAGATATTAAAATCTTTCTCATGACGAATTTAAAATTTGATGTTAAATTAAACAAAAGAAATGCATGTAACGTTTAAAGTTTTAATATTCATAATTAGTAGTTACATATATTACATGCTTTCGTGTGTAAAAAGAAATCCTTCAAAATAAATATAATTGAAATATATATTGGAAATAAACAATCCATAACAAAAGATGAATCTTTGTTTTAAATTTGTACTTTAAATTTATCATTCTTATCATTTTTTGAATTTTTAAAAAAGTTGACACCTACGTATATGTAATCAACATTCTTTTCAGGTATATAATTTCGATCCACAAAATACAGACAGACTTGATAAATATTGACCTGTCTTCGCAGGTACATGTCTTATTATATCAATTTATTGATTATGTATTCAGGAGGTATTAAGTAAATACAGACTTTTATCCAGGTATGGGATTACTTTTATAAAGTTTGATTGCACACCTTTGTAAACCCAAATAATGGTTAGCCACACAGAGGCGCGCGCCATAAACGACTGCTCGGTAGGCAAAGAATAAATTAGGAATCTGCTTATAGCTTAACGACAAAGAGTTCGAAAAGGAGGGGTTTTTTGGCATTAAAACAGTAATTTGTCTTCTAGCAATGTAAAATGGTTCTATATGAGTCGAAACAATAGTTATAAACGTGTAATGCTTGTACAAATATACAGAGTAGAGTCTTGAAGTAAGAGCAAACGTTTGGTTAATAACCGTATTTATCGTTATTTCTTTGCCAAAATCAAAATTTTGTGCTAATTATCTTAGCATTTGATAGCATTTTTTTTAGATGCCTTTTTTTTTTATTCCGTATATTTCACCTTCCTTCAAAACTGATTTTACAAATTAGGAACTATGCCCCTACCACCTACAATCCCAGTTTACGTTTGTAGAAATATTTTTTTTAAACACGTGATTAAGTTGAATGAAGTGAAATGAAAAAAAAACTTCTGAAATTAGATTTATTAAAACAAATGTCAGTGGGAGTGTTATTTGAGAATGAGTCTACACCTTCAATAAATTTCAATCGTCATATATTATACAACTGTTACCTTTACCAAACTGGATTTAAGAAACCTATCAGCACTTCAAATCACGGAGCTACATCGGAATTTTGGAAGTGTCTTGTCAACAATACTTTTGATTATGTATACAATCAAATAAATTCAAAATAACATGCCGAGACATTGCTAGGAGAATTTGCTATCCTGATTTGTTTAAAATCCCTATAGATAAAAACCTCAAGGGGAAAAAGACATGAATAAGTTTAAACCACTTTTAAATTTCACAATTATTCCCTTTCAGATATAGGTTAAGACATTCGTGGTTATTTTCATCAAATTATACTTCGTTTATTTTATAACCAAATGGATATATGTGTATTGATATTGGGCGTTATTTTTAAAATTAAATATTCAAATAAGATACAATCAAGTGAATATGTTTTTATTTAGCAATTTTGATGGAAACTTTTTTTCAATAAAAGTAAAGGGGTGTAATAATCATCAAAATATGTTTACTGTAGCCAACAAATTGTCAAGATGTTCAGACTTTGGAAGATTTTAAAAAGTCTGTGGTAACTAAGGTAGCCGAAATTAGAAAGGGAAAGGAAGGGGATAAAAGGGAAAGGAAGAGGATAAAAAAGGCAATAGACAACAAATATCGTAAATTAACAAATATTACGTATTTTTCTGTAAAAATGGTTGTTCTTAATGTACAATATCCAAAAAATTAAAACATGTACATCAATTAATATTATTAATTATAATTAATGTTGTTACCTGTTTTGTAGTCGTCTTGAACTCCTCTGCAGGGGAATATGGAGGTTTTGTAAGTGTCAATGTAGATTTGTGCATAGCACGTACCCCCCTACCATATTGATAGGGGGCCGTTCTAGTCCTATCATTATAAGCCAATGAAGAAATCACAGGATAAATACATCCATCTTCCGTTAGAATGGTACACGCAGTTTTTCCCTGTCCATGTTTCACATAAGGGCTTGGCCCTGGTCCCTTCAACATTGTAAAAAATTATTTACCCCTCTCCTTCTTTCTTACATTCTTCCAGTTTCACAAACTTAACACAGCCGAATACAAGATCGGATTAAAACTTATTTCCACTGATAAGCTCCATTGAACTTTCAGTATTGATTACTATGCAAGTGTCGAATTATTTACCATTCAACCATGCTGAAAAGTGCCAGATTACCCGAGGAAACCCTGAGACTATATAGATCTAACTTTAATTGGGTCTTGTTTTTTAAACGTACAGATCAAAATATGACGTGTATACTGAATATTTCATATGTCAACCTGACAAGTCTCTTGAAAATAATGATATAATTTTATGTCAAAAAGGATTATATTTTAATCAATATAATTATGAAAATTAAGTCTAACGATTTTGTTTATGTGGAAGTATTTAAATATCGTCACTAAGCACCTGTCGTCAGCCGAGCAATCTAACTAATCCATAAAATAGTTACTGGAAGGCCAAAACTCATTTTAAAACCATTTAAATACCAAAGGCAAACATTTCCCTTTCAGACTTGGTTTTTAAGCAGACTGTAAAGGTTTTGTGTATTTTGAACACACGATTGTTTCCGAGATTTCAATATCTATACAAGTGAAATGTGAATTAATCTATGGTACAGGATACTAGTACTTGAAAATAAAAAGGGAACAAAAATTCCCTCCATTCAGAGTAAAGACAGACCCCCATCCCCATCGCACCCCCAAAATACTAAAGCCAAGCAAGAACACCGGGGTTGGGGTGGGAGTAAAAAATCCCTCTTTGGCCGGGGATATACCACATAAAATACTGAACCCATACCTACCAGATTGGATGCATTTTTTTTTTTTTATTATTATTTTTTCCCCTATCACTGAACGTGATATTCTCGAATTAGTGTCGACAGGGGAAGGTTGGAAGGGAGTGAAAGATTAACATTTATTTAAAACTGTCCTTGTGGACAGTCGTTAAGACATACGTACTTGGACTTGATCCATGAATTTGCAGAGCATGTTTTATATTTAAGTTTAAAATTTATCAATCTAAATTTATATCTATAACAATCTAGATTGTTAGAGATAATTTTTAATTGATAAATTTTAAACTGTAAATGTAACACATGTGCAAATACGTCAAACTCAGACAGGCGTAAAATATGCAAAGATATGATCCAATGCGTGTGTGTGCTTTTTTTTTTTTTGTTTAAAAAAAAAAATAAACAATATCGTAAACCAAATAATAACAGCATTTTTTGATACATTAAAAATAAAATTTGAATATATCGATTAGAAATCAGCCAAGAATATAAATTTTGATTAGAACAAATTCGGACGTCTAAAATCAAACGCAATAAGACAAATCATTGAAAATAATGGCCTATCAATTTGTATTAAAAACATCCACCAACAATTTAATAGATATCATTGTATAGATCACAGACTTTGCGAAGTATTGTCTTAAACAAGATAGTTAATATTCTTGTTTCATCAACTTATTTGTCAATAGCTTACCTCGTTTTAGAAATTGTTCATATGTAGAGCATGCTCAAATCCGCTGGATGACAAACTCCATATGCAAATGATAATGGTATACTGATACATAAAATGTAATCTAATTACCAGTATTATATCATCTTCTGTATAAGAAGCATTCTGAGAAAACCGCATAAACAATTCTAGTCCCCTACCGGCAAGTGTAATCTGATTCGTACTTCAACTTAAAAATGTCAAAATTCCATAAAAAATCATAGATTCAGAAGTGCAAACTTGATCTGTAACTCATCAAGATACACTCACACACCAAACATCAGCTCATTATCTGCAAATGTTTAGAAAAAAGTGCGGAAAACCAGTTGGGACGGACTGACAGATAGAAGTGAAGGAAACCTCTAGTCCCTTCTGGTTTCACTGATAACTAATACATGTAAATTACTATCAAGATAATAAGTTACTTTAGAGTTTTCTATAGGCCTGAATTTAGTCAGTATATAGCCACCGTATTTAAGGTCAACAAGCTCATATTCCTTCATTTATTTAACTTGTTAAACTTGCCATTGTGGGCATAATACAGACAGAAAATACGTCATTTGAAAACTATATGTATCTATTGTAACAAATACAACTAGAACTGTCCAAACAGGACAAAATATCCCCAGCTGGGTTTTTCAGAGGTAAGTTTTCCATAATAAAGATATGCATCAAACATGAATCATACAATTTTTCTTTCAGTGACCTGGAACTTGCACAGATGACCTAGGGTCAAGGTCATGACACACCCTTAGGTCATGGGCAATCTTTGTGTGAAATAAAAATCTACCAAGTTTATCCATAAGAAAGATATGGACCGGACACGCATTATGAAATTTTTCTTCCAGTGACCTTGAACTTTCCCAAATGATCTTGGGTCAAGGACATGACACACCCTTGGGTCATGGGCAATCTTTGTGTGAAATGACAACCTACCAAGTTTATCCATAAAAAAGATATGGACCAGACACGAATTATGAAATTTTTCTTCCAGTGACCTTGAACTTCCCCAAATGACCTTGGGTCAAGATCATGACACACCCTTGGGTCATGGGCAATCTTTGTGTGAAATGAGAACCTACAAAGTTTATCCATAAGAAAGATATGGACCGGACACAAATTATGAAATTTTTCTTCAAGTGACCTTGAACTTCCCCAAATGACCTTGGGTCAAGGTCATGACACACCCTTGGGTCATAGGCAATCTTTGTGTGGAGTAGTAGATTCTAATGTTCCTCCGTAAGAAAGATATGGGGGGTATAAAAAACAATACTCAGAACACCCCTCTTATGAACAATGATTTATTTAACAACAGTTGTACAAGGAAAAGGCATATACTCCAGGTCAGGAGTTTCAAAACTTATAGAATAACTAAAGGTAACTAATAAACAACGAAGAAAAATAAGTAACATTTATCACATTAATCATCGTTTAGAGTCCACTGGGTAAATTTTGTCTTGTATAAGCTAGTGCATTTTATCCAGTGTTGCAATGAATGTTCGTATCTGCATTGGCTGTAGAGAGATGATGCTTTGGGATCTGGGAATGGCTGTGTTTAATAGTTTCTCCTTAGTGAGGGATTCTTCTTTAGTATCTACAAAATCATGCAACTCACAATATCAATATTTCTTCAGTATACAGTATGAAAGTTTGTTATTTTTTTAAAATCTCAAAGTAGCAAACACCACAGAAGACCAAGAATAAAGAGTCTGTATAAGCAAACAGGAAGTGAGATAACTACCTGGTATGTATGCCCATGGTAACCTATTCAGTTCAGCCAATGGAAGGTTGGCTCCCAAAGTAAGTTCAACCATTGTAACAATTTTAAATGTAGTGAAATCAGTCTGAAATGAAAAGGTATCATGAAGAAAATAAAAACATCAATGGTGAACAAATATTTACATCTTGTACTGACATATATTTTATTATTTTACTAAACATCAGCCTTGAGTGTGTTAAAATTAGAAAAATTGTACTGGTATGAGCAATAAGTACAGCTTATTGTGTGTGATTCCTCGACATTTTTGGATGAAGACTCTTTTTACATTTATCTTCTTTTACTGTTAATTTTCTTTTATCAAGAATATGACTGTCTAGTGTCTATGTGTCAAAATTAATTTCATTCAGTAAAACTATATTTGGAATTCTATTAAAAATTTCCTGATTCTGCTAAACACAGCACCATTGGTCTATCCCTGCATCCCTATACCCAACAGAAAGGCAGTAATTAACCTGAGTCTATGAGAAATTAAGGCAATCCAAAATATTGTCGAATCATTTTTCAGCTTCTGAGCAATTAAAAGGGATTCCAGGACTCTAGGTCATATTTTATAAAATATTACGTATACTCTTAATCAGTTAGCCTCTTGATGGAAATTCTCACCAAATCAACGACTGCTGATTGTGAGAGAACTGTGTCCTCATCTTTTTCGTAGATATGTTCAAACCGAATCAGTATCTGGGGGATTTCGATTGGCTGTATTTTGGGAGTGTCTGTCCACTGTTCCAGGGTCAACATGTGGACATTAGCTGGAAGGGGCTTTTTCAAAGCTGACCACTGTAAAAATAAACTTACATTTTGTAGTAAATTTTATGAAGTAAACATATGGTGTATTGCATGTCTAATAAAAACAATTCCTATAAGAAGTTGTTTTCCACCAAAGGTGTGCGTTGAAATGCAATATACAATAAATATAGAGTTATAAAACAAAAGTAAGTGCAGTCAATTGTTATCTGCCCAGCAACTTCACTTCCACAACTTCACAGTTCATCAAATTTTGCACATTCCTCACATAAATGGAATTACCGGTAATATCAAATTTCATTTTTTCACTGACAGCTTTGTTACTATACTACTATGTCACATCACAAGTATGGTATACAATTATACTTACCTGGGTATTGTATTTGGACATGGCTTGCTCTGGTGTCATGGTTAGTTCAGAAAATGAAATGGAGGGAGCCATGTAGGACTTGAGAGCTAGACTTCTGTGGAGAGCAGGTGAGTCTTTAATGGTGTCCAAAATCATCAAATGCTTTCCTGAATATGTAATAACAGAATTAATATCAAAAATTAGATTACAGTGATTGAGTATAATTGAATTAAACTAAAAATTACTGCACTTTGTATGTTTGTAACTAATACAGCCAAAATACGCCACATGTAATACAGCTGAAAAAAGCAACATGTCATACAGCTTAATGGACAATAGAGTGAAGTTAATTGTAAGTAACTTACCCCTGACAATGAGTCCTTGTCCATCAGCCCCTGTCTCATTCAGGGGTTCACCCACCCCAAAGTGGTCATCATACAACAACCTTCTATGAACCTGTTGAATAAAATTGTAAGGTAAAGCATTTAGGTGTATTCATTTTTTGAAGGGTGTAAATGTGCGGAAAAAATTTCAATGGACCAGACCAGAATTTGAACCTAGGCCCCCTTAATCACTTGTCAGGTCCTCTACCAACTGAGCTACCACCGGTGATCATGCAAATCTGCCTGATCCCCACATAGGAAATATTTACCTCCTCTTCCTTTTTTTCATAAGAAAATATATATGAAGCTATTAAAATATGATTGCTAAAAAAATTATTTAGAAAAGTTGCTAAAAAAATTATTTAGAAAAGTTGCTTTCAATGCGTCTGCACAAAAATAAATTTTCAAAGAAATTTGCAAGGCACCCTGTATGGATAAAACATGTCATTTTTCTGAGAACTATATACATGTACAAATAATTTTCAATTGACAATGAATTTCTACAAACCAGAAGCTCCAGAGATCCTGATTCCAGACTGCTGCCTCCCTCAGATCTATCTGTTAACACAGTCAGCTGCTGGTTCTGGGTCTTATCCTTAAAAATTATTTTAAAAATTGTAATTTCATACCCACTAAAGAAGCCTGCTTTAGGATATGACAAATTTACCAAAGTCATGTGCTGGAAATACTGTATGTGTACTTTAAAAGGCGTGCTTCATAATTTAACAGACAACAATGCACTAATTCATGAATACTGCTAAGATATCATTAATATAAATACAAGACATGGCAGGTAAGTGTGTACGTGCTAATTCATGATTACGCCAACATCTCAATACCCAGTGATTGTGCTCAATTTTTGATGCGCCAATCTATGTGCATGTACATGTATAGTATTTGAAAATAGTTGTTCATAAACCCCCCGGTAATACCATCCCTATAAACTTATGATTCAAACAGCCAATACCGAGATAAGAATGCATGAATTTCATAAATGTAAAGTTACGGATTATTAGTACTCTTCCATTAAAATCATAAAAAACCTAAGAGCACAACAACTTACTTGTATGAAGATTCGGCTGTTGACAGGGTAGTAGTTGCCAGCCACATGCTCCGTGTTGTTAAAATTCCATGTGTTTCTGTGATCTCGTCTGCAAAATGGGAGATATTTCCAAAACTAAATAAAAAGTTAAAAAATATCTTTAAAATTTTGATGGGTGAAAATTTTTTATTAATTAGAATTACTGTCTTTCCAAGATTTCTCTGCCATTTGCATCTGTGTAAAAGAGGTCCCCAGTGGTCATTGACTGTGTGTCATACAGAGTTATGTACTCCTTACCAAGCTTGTCTCTGAAAAATGCCAAATAATCTGATAAAAAAGCATTGCATTTGACAAATGAAAATTCCTATTCAGACTAATATGAAGAAAAAAGAAGTTACTTTTACTATTTTTGTCTTGAAATCAGTGAACTTGACTTTTGGATGCAATGATCCGAAAATAACATTCCTTATTACATATTGCAATTTTACTTTCAAATATTCCTGGTTTTCGACAAATCCCTAGCATTGACATATAGTGATAGGGATTGGAGTACAGCATTACTTGATATTAATTGGCCCAACAGTCCACTCAACTTCAACAAAAGGCATGTCCTTATACAGCCGAATCACTTGTGTCGCCTCAGGTCCAAAATTCATGTGGGCCTCCTGCACCAATTCTCCCTGAAACAATTACAGAACCTTAATTACAATTTTAAGTGGAAAATATACATATACCTTTTTTTTCAAAATAATTTAAGGAAGGATATGATCTTTGTTAAAAAAAAAAAGAATTACCATGGTAAGATAAACTGAAGTGTCATCCTGAAGTCTGTGGCGCTCTCCTTTAGTTCTGAGTGCATATGCACCAGAGGCCTGGAACTCTCCCTTACTGCAGTTACCACCAAAGGCTTCGTACCACCAGATGGCTTGGTTAAGTGGAATGGAGATATTCTTCCTCTTGTTGGACAATCCCAAAGTGTTTGCATTAATGTTATCCAAGTTCACCAAATATTCCTGAAATCAGAAAAAAGTGTCCTTCCTGTATTTGATCTATCATCATTCCATTGTCAAGAAACTTCACAACTGGTTAGAAAAATGTGTAAGAAGAACACAAGGTAGAGTTCATCTTGAAAACTCTTACTTATCATATACTAGTGTGTCAGTTTTTTTATAAAGACACAGCCATATGATTGTTTGATGATTTAGTTACATAAAATAATTAAAAAAAAAAATTCTTACATCATTATCAATGTACAGTGGTAGTTCTGACTGGTCTCTTGGTAAGGAGACAATTTTACTGGATTGTGAGGTAGCCTCATCCATATCTGTCCAAAAAAATGTTTTAATGTTGATTTCACAAAGTTATGCCTTGCAGGTCATATATTTTTTTGTATCCTTTTGTAAAGAATGGAGGCGTACAAGGCGAGATCAATCCCCCGCTCTGAGAAAAGACATTTTTCAATTCTGAAAGTTATATTTTTCAAAATTATATTGTTTATATGATCTTTTACACATTTCATTCTGTATTTCATTGTTGTAATATTTTATTAATAATTTATTTTTTCACTCACGTTTTTAAGATATGTGAAAACAAAAAAGAAAAAGCTTCACTTATGATTCGAACTCTCTCCACAGCACAGGGTTTGGTCCAAGACCGACCGCTTTAACCACTAAGTTACGAAGTATACGAATTATCGACATCTGTCTGTGCGATTTAAAGGAACGGGTTTGTTGAAGCGTACATTTTTTCAGGAATTTTTGATTCTCATCTAGAATGGGTTCAGATTCCATTTTTTGGACAAATGAAATAGATTTTACATTTACGTTTCCATCATTTAAGCGTTAACGAAGAATGGAGACTTGACCCATTCATGTTCAAAATTCATTTTTTATAGCTCTAGTAAACCCATTTTCCACTAAATATGCTTAACTGTCCACTTTCAAATAAAGATTATCAAATAATAAGTCCTTCAGTAAAATAAAATGATAAAATGTTTTGAAGATGACATATTTTTCTAAAATCATGTTCTCAGTAATATTACTGAGAACATGATTTTAGAAAAATATAACTTTTTGGTGAATTTTGAAAATTGAGAAACATTTTGTCTCAGAGCGGGGGATTGTCCATGCCTTATACGCCCTCTTTCTTCACGGACCACCTAATTTGGTGATTTTATCTTCCACAAAATAAACACTTCATAAAATTCATACTTTCAATCCATCTCCTTTTTGTAAAACTTACTGTTAGTTTCCACAATAAAATAAGTGCTGTATCCCAGAGGAGGTATCTCTACCATAAAGACCAGCTCGTTGGTGGCTATGGATTTTTTCCTCTCAGGTATTCTCTTGGTTTCATTGGTGACCTGTACAAGCTGTGCTGTTACATTTAACCCCTTTGGATCCACCACTCTATAAGGACCCCCTGACACAGGAATCCTCACAAAATCTGTGATAATGTGACCCAGTGGGTTGTAGACAGTCATCATAAACTGAAATGTGATACCGGGTATATATTACTAAATTTTTCATAAAATCATTTTTTTTTCTCAAAAATTCATGTGTAAAAGCATCTCTTTTCCAAAACTCAATACATAGGTCATTTTCTATGACACCAGCCTTGACCTGAATGTATTATCTTTTGCAAAGGTCAATGGAGAAAATATTCAAATCTGATACAGAATTTTGGATCTATTTCAAGAAAGGGTTATAGCTATATTTTAGCCTAATGAAGCCTATGGTGAGTAGAAATATATAAGTAATCATACCTTTGACAGTAAAACTTGAAATTATTCTCCATATGACTTTCTATAATGAATTTCTCTTCACTCGGCTGATTGCTGTTATTCTATTGATATGCTGATAATACTGTACATTTGATATTAAACTAGAAACTGTACCTGTTTTTGGTGCTCAGTGAAGTCACAGTAGCTGATGTTAGTAAGAGGACAGTAGACTTGTTGGGGAGCTTTATCAGAGCCTTTTGGTAATAATTTCTCAAAGGCTGCATTTGTTACCAGCTGCAATTTATAGTATATGTTAATTATTAATATCCTAAATTCTCTCAGATCACACCAACAATCAGAAAAATGTTTTAATTGAAATTAAATATTCTGCATATTAATCAAATCTTAAACTGTCTTATTCATTACAGAAAAGACCAGTGACAACAATTTCTTTATTAGTTTCTCTACAAACCTGGCACCTCTCTGCCCCAACAGCTAGTCTCTGAGCATAATCATTTGCAACATGCTGTTTCTCTGTCCCTCTAAAATATACCAAACACTTTTAAAAACACTTAGGGCACTGCAAATTGGAGCACCCTTCTTGCAAAAAGCATATAAATCAAGACAGCATTTAACACTGATGTTGATGTAAATTACACCACTGCTGTTGAGCACAAAGGACAAACTAACCCACTCACAATCCCATCACTCTGTTGCAAGGGGATACTAATTATTTCAATGATCAATGATTCATAAAAAAATTATTTCTTAAAAAGGTCTACTTACGATATAGCGTCATGATGCTGAACAACTCCTAGTGCCTCCTCTGTAACAGGAGTAAAACAGATAAATTTACAGTGATCTTCACATCTGAGATATTTTTTAAGAAACTGGCTGACTTTATTCCCCATGCATTATCATTTTTACTTACTGAACACACGTAGGTTCTCTAAGGCAAAGTTACCCTCACGTCGGAGATCTGCTAGAACATCCAGTTGTTTACATACCTACATAGAACAGTAAACAATTAAAGGAAATATTTAAATGTGAACATACAGGCTAACAGATATGCAAAGATGGTGGTTAAGTTTTACCTGCAAGAAATTGTTACTTTTACGGGCATATCCTTTCAGTGCAGCTCGGCTAGAGAAGTACCCAGACCAGAAGGTGTTTTCTCGGCTGGCGTAGGGGAAGAAATCGTCCTTTGTAGAATTCCACACCTGATTCAGGTGATTCAGATTGTACAGGTAACAGGAGGGGGTGGAGTACAACACATTGATGTCACTGCCATTACTCTGCTGCAAATAACAATGTAACTATAATGTAATAACTTTCACTGTAAATATTAATGTAACTATAACAATTTCTAAATCACTAATTACTGAAATTATTTACATTGTAAATTTATGATATAACACTGTAGATATTTACATTGATGATCTAGTTTTTTACCTGCTGGTTAACATATTTGATGAGTTTGTCTAAGTTCTTGTACCAGGTGTGAGCATTGGAATACTGGAAGTCACTCCCCATAGTCATCATTATGTTGTTGGAGTGAAAGTGCTGGGCCTGAAATTATCAGGGTAAACAGAGGAAAACTGCATGATGATTATAAAAATTACTGAGGTTTAAAACCACATATTTAGAATTAAAAATTATTTGAAAAAATATTGCATTAGTTTGATAATCTTATAAATAACATACCGGGTATCTGAACACCAAATAGATTTCGTGATATTTGTACATTACATACTAAGTAAATAATTCACCTGATCTTTGACAATTTTGATGAAATCTTGAACACGGCTTTGTATGTTGACATCATGCATTCTTTCATCATCCTTTATAAGTCAAAAATAAATTTATAAACAATAAATTAAATCCTCTAAAAATTTTGATGATTGGATTGGTACCACACAAATAAACATGGTTTAAAGTAAAAAATGGAATGACTCTACATATACATGTAGGTAATATATTGTACCTTCTGTATTTAACCATGTATTGATGTAAATACAGAGTTTAAACTTTCTGAAACTGGTAGTTCTGAATAGTTTTATTCATAAATTACTTTAAACAAACATCATATGATGTCCAGGTTAAGAAAATTGAGCAAAAAATATCCTACCATTATTGGTTCATCATTACAAAGCTCATCAAAACAGAATCCAGGGGGTGGAACATAATGGTTGTATAAAACTCCAGTAAACAGTTCTGATGTTTTACCTGAAATTATCAACCTTAAGTTTTTATCATTAACTAGAATAATATCGAAAGAGTTTACATGTATTATGTTACATTTTTAAAGGTATGAAGGATATGGAAATGGAATCCATAATAGTATGAAGTATATGATGTATATATGATTTGACTGTTGATATACCAAGGTTTTTAGGACTTCCTCTCCAGACAAATTCCATGTTATTCTGTTTCACTCTGGTGTCTTTGTCTTGATAATCCAGACGACCAAAGAAAAGTCCATCAAATCCAAACTATCAAAAATTAATTTAATTAATTAAGTCTCATCATGCCTGATCTACCATCAGTTATTTCCTGAAAGCTTTATCAAACATGTCTTTTTTTTTTTATATAGTAAAACTCTCTTATATAAATCAATTATAATATATGAATATATATAGTATAAAGAAATCTTGGTTATAAGGATGTTCTATATTTTTGCAGTTCCTCATAACATAACACTTTCTTCTATGGATATAAAAAAAATTCAGTAATTCATTTTTAAAAGGCAACCTTACAGGCCTGTATTGTTGTACAAATATAAGCCTTGTCCTCTTCAGTTTTACCTGTGCAAACATGGATGCCTGTTCTCGGGAATGCCCGAAAGGATCTATCTGCCAGCCCACCCTGGGGCGGGCACAGGCCCCAAACTCCTCCTGCAGGAAAGAGAAGCCCAGAGTATGCTGGTCTATCATAGCGTTGTAGTGGGTGCTGGCCTCGTCATTCATACACCAACCTCCCAACACAAACTCCAAGCGACCTGTCAAAGGGGGTAAATATTAAATAATCTTTAGAGGGTGTAAAACTTGAAGAAACTTAATTCTTAAAAATTGTCACATTCAAAATCAACATCAAACTTTTTTCTATGTATACATACAGTTAGTACATGTAAATTGCAAAGAGATGTCATGCATTAAAATATCTACAGCCCTTGACTTTATCCTGTGAAATCACTTATATTCTTAGGGGGATTAGTTTTCATTGTTTTGAGGTATTAAGAGACCCATGAATTCATGTCCACCAAAAAATGTAAAATGTAACATACCCGGTACATAAGTACTCAAAAATTCATCATCCACAATATCAAATCCCCACAAAGCAAGAGTTTTTCCTCAACCACAAAAATCTGACCCCACGAAAATATGTGATTTTACAGTATACATGTACAAACACCATGGATTCCTCACAATTCTTATGAATTTTAGTAATAGAGTAAAATTTGTCTAATTCGTACTCTGAGTTCAAAATTTCAAAATTGATATTTTCCTGCATTTTTCCTGCACTCAGGATTTTGTTTAAACCAGTCAAATTTTATGGAATGGGCGGTAGCCGGTTTGGACAAATTATACTGTATGCATTTTTTCCTTTTGAAAAAAAAACCAGAACGCTCACCTTCATTGACCAGTTGTTTGACATTTTCCTTCATGGCAGCATCCTGTTCCCTCCACCAGCGAGCAAAGAATGCGATCTCCACATAAATAAACCTCTTAATGGGGTCACGGAGGAGCTCAGGAATCACCGAGTCCAGAATGTACTGGACCCCCGCATGCTGGATGTCATTTCTTGCTAGAATATTAATTAGAGTTGTCAAACCTAATCCGATTGCTGCCACATCAAGTACTGCACTGCATTCAAAAATATTTTTCAATTGTTATAGGCCAGTGAGAAATGTAAAAGTTTTTTTGGTTTGTTTCTTTGGGTTTTTTTTGGGGAGGGGTACAAAGTTTGGCTCCTAAGGCAACAAATTTTTCAGTGTTTGAAAAATTGAAATTCCAAGTTATCTCCCTTGATGCAGCATCAATCTAACCTGGGATGTGTTCAAGATCATAATGGAAAAATAGCTACAATCTTGAATGTATGCTACAGATAACTGAAAAATGGACCTGCATGCATATGCTTTACAAGAAGCCCATGGGCCACATCACTCACCTGAATAGCTTTGACAAATTGAATGCTGTTCTTTACCATATTTCCCCACCCCTGTAATACCTTTTGTAACCCCACCCAACCCCAAGGGTCATTATTTGGACATTTAGAATCTATACTACCCAAGGATGCTTTCACATAAATTTCAGCTTTTCTGTCCCACTCATTCTTGAGAAGAAGATTTTTAAAGATTCTTCCTATATAATTCAATGTAAAATTTGGATTCATACCCACAGGGTCATGATTATTTGAACAATTTAGAATAAGTACTACCCAAGGATACTTCCATATAAGTTTCAGCTTTTCTAGCCTACTGGTTCTTGAGAAGAGAATTTTAAAAGTTTTTTCCTATATATTTTAATGAAAAAATTTGATTCACTATTGTGGCCCTGCCCTACCCTCGGGGGTCTTGATTTGAACAATTTAGAATCTACACTACCCCAGGATGCTTCCACATAAGTTTTAGCTTTTCTTGCCAAGTGAGTGATTCTTGAGAAAAAGATTTTTTAATGACCCCTCCCTATTTTTGTCTTTTCTTGATTATATCTCCTCTTGTGAAGGGACTTGGTCCTTCATTTTATTAATTTAAACTCCCTTTCACTTAAGGATGCTTTGTATCAAGTTACCAATTTACCCAGTGGTTCTTGAGAAGAAGTTGAAATTATGAAAAGTTTATAGACGGACAGGCAGACCCTTCGGCTCAAAAAGCTCTGAGTACCGTTATATCAATCTAGGATGCAACTGAAATCAAAGCATAATTTCAACCATATTTTGAAGAGATATGCTAGAATTAACTTACATCCATAGAAGTACTGGTCCACCGTCTTGAGCCAGCCTACATCATCGTGTGTGTGAGGTACTAGGTGGACATTCAGCATGGTGTCAGAGGTAGCTGGACAAGTCTGCATTAGACACGACAATGTAGGCAAAGTGGCTTGATTCCAATTTCTTCATCTTCAATGCTCAATAGCCTCATACAAACTTTATTTTTACAAAAAATTTACTATAGATAATGGTTATATGGACATTACCCTGTAGCCACATTCTGGATCGGGTGGTGCAAATTCCTCCACATTGGGTCTTGCATTCACGACTGTAAAAACAAAGCATATCCATATAATAAACAGGGTATTCCAGCCTGCCATGGCTGTGTGACACAGTTATATAAAATCTGATATCTGTCATGTGAGGTTATCAATTCAGTTATCAAAATTATCACATTATATGTGTATACCTGGCTTTTTGTGCTCCTGAGTTCTTTATCTGCATCATTCTATATCAAGGTAAATTAACTGATATGTTAATTCTCTAATTTCACAGGTACAAATTTTTATAGTCAATATACATACTTTATAATACGAAAATTAAACTGGTTGATCAAATGTACAGAAGATGTATAATCAGTGAAGTATTCAATCTTTAAACTGATTGGCCAAGTTGCTAAATGAATTTTCTATTTAATCTCTCTGAATATTGTAATTAGTAAACAAGAGGTCTATGGACCACAATGCTCACTGTGTCTTCTTGTCTTAAGCTTCTATAAATCTCTAAAGTAGCTTCATGTTGTAAAGGGAAGGTCTACAATTAGATAAAGTTTTGAGTATTTTTTGCTGTACAATGTATAATTTATTAGCAATTTTTGTGCGATAAAAGCAGAGAGGTTTGATAGGAAAATGTTAAATTTAATGTCTTAAATGGGATTTCAGTGTTGAAAACAAGCCTCAAAATAAAACATCCTCTCTAAATATTGATTGGTACCTGTATAAGAAATAGACATATTTCTGATAGGTCAACAGAGAGAACAAGACAAGGGGATTGGGGGGGGGGGGGTTATACAATTCAACAGCATATACAAGATTAAAGACTGACTAAATCATGGGGAAGACAATTGCCTTAGATGAACCTTATATATTTCCATTTCTAATTTTTTTTCTCTATGATAACTCTTTGAAAGTTAGCAGTCAATTTCTTAATTGATAATTCTACCGGAATGTAAATTAGTCAGGTCGATAGGTCAGGAGCTAAGGAAGCCTAATAAATATGCATGCAAATCTCGTGCACATCTGTCTCTGTGTCTGACGCTAAGGAGGCCAAATATGAATGAAAATCTTGTGCGGCTGCCTTTGTGTTTGACGTCAGTGTGTGAGGACTATTGAAAGTGGCATGGGAGTCCTCTTGTAATTAAATTCTATGTCAACATTTTCTTTCACAATGAAATGGAAATATAAGGAATCACTGTCTAGTTAGTAAAGTATGCCAGGGACATCAACGATAGTGGGAAACAGGGATAATTTATGCATAACGGGCTTTGTCGCTATGCAGATTATCCCACGTTTTCCACTATCGTTGATGCCCTGGCATACCATACTAACTAGACAGTGATTCCTTGAACATTTTCTATTTATTTATGGATTTATGGATGCACTCATAAAACATCAGCATAAATACTAGTATAAGAAGCAGAGGAAGCAGTTTGAGGAAGCAGACTTGTATGAAGTACTAGAAGAGCTAGATTGGAGCTAGATACACGGAAGTGTATTAGGGTCGCAGCATTATCTTTTTTAAATTTGTTAGTAATTAGTTTAAACAAACTGGCTTGAGTTGAATTGTCTGAGGGATTGCAGAAAATTTTAATTCAAGCAAGTTTATCGCTTGTAGAGATGACTGTAAATGGTTGGGAGATGGATAAAATATACAGATGTACTTAAAAATGTGTCTAGAATTATGGAGGGAAAGGTAAATAATTTAACAATGTTGGAAAGGGGAGAAATTCTTCCAAACAATGCGCAAAAAATCTTGCGCAGTAAATTGCACATTTTATGCATTACAGGATCTGCAGAGTTATGATCAAAGACTAATATATAAAACCATAATGCTACAGATCTGCAGCTACATATGAATATGATCATTCATGCCTTTCCTATTCTTGAAAAGAAGACTTTAAAAAAAGAACTTTATTCAGTAATAACCAATATTTGCCCCCCAAATCAAACTTTGATGGAGATATATTTAATTAAATTCTTAAACAGGGGAGTATATGCTGGCTTCAAAGCACTGAATATTTTAATAAGTAATGACGCCATATGTACGTAATGACGTCACAAACATGACGTAAATTTCAGTTTTTTATGAATTTTACAGAAAAATGTACATATTTTGTCGACATTTTGAGTAAAAGTCACCGAGTGCATGTGTGTTCAGGATCAATAATTTGATATAATGTGTAGAATGATAATATCAATGAAATATGTCAATATCGTTCCTGAACAAACTTGCGCTCTATAAATTTTAAAGATAAAATTGTTGAAATCTTGTCCATTTTGTCCTCTTTCTGAAAAAGGATATAAAATCGGACTAGTTTGTAACGTCATGAAAACAAAAATTGTGAATACACTGCTTTGACACTATAATATTTTCTGTTAATTTATATTTTTCATACAATTTATTGAATTCAGCACATTTCAGGAAGTTTTCCAAATATGACTTTTGTGGGGGCAAATATATGCAATACACCACATATAGTTCTTTCCCTATATATTTCTATGTCAAATGATGTGAACAAACTTGAATCTACAGAGTCACTATCTTAGGAAGCTTCCATATAAATGAACTAACATTATGACCCCGCCCTACCCTAGGGGGTCATGACTTGAACAAACCTGAATCTACACTACCTGAGAATGCTTCCTTATAAATATGATCATTCATGCCTTTGCTATTCTTGAAAAGAAGATTTTTAAAAGAATTTTCCTATATATTTCTATGTAAAACTTTGACTGGCCATTTTGGCCCTGCCCTACCCCTGGGGGTCATACTTTGAACAAATTTGAATCTACACTACCTGAGGATGTTTCCCTATAAGTTTCATCTTTCCTGGCACAGTGGTTCTTGAGAAAAAGACTTTTAAAACATACCACCAAATTTTCTTGATTTCTGAATTGTCTCCCCTTGAATAAGGGTGTGGCCCTTCATTTGAATAAATTTGAATCTTCTTCCCCCAAGGATACTTTGTGCCAAGTTTGGTTGAAATTGGCTGTGAGGTTTCAGAGAAGTCAAAGATGTGAAAAGTTTACAGACATATAGAAAGACGGATGGACAGACAGACGGACACCAGACAAAATGTGATCAGAAAAGCTTACTAATGAGCCTTCGGCTCAGGTGAGCTAAAAAGATGGAATTGAAAGATTCTGCTGCTATATAGTGATTATTTGAAGATATCTGAATTATAAATAAAATTTGAATTATTGCATTGCATGTACACATCATATTAATGAAGATCTTCTGATGATAAGAAAGCTCATGATCAGTTGTGTCTACATTAATTTGGCACTGCATACATTCAGTTATGGCATATACAATATGTAACACCAAAACTTCTCCTCTGCTTTTTAGGGCTTGGAACCTTCTGCTTGAAAAAAAACATGCAAATATGTAAATTCAAGCAGGCAGCATTAAAAGTCTTGTGCTTTTTTTTTTTTTTTTTTTTTTTTTTACATTCACTTATAAATTTACATAAGCAATTAATTTTAACACATTACAAATTAACATTTGTAAATCCAATGCAAATCATGTCACATTAAAGAGGTCTGGACAATTTCCAAAAATGGAAGTCAAAAACGATAACCGTGAATTGCTATAAATACACAGAATGAACAAGGTGCTTTAAATCCTCCTGACCAATCAGATAACAGCATTTAGACAAACCCATCATAAAATAAATAAAATAAATGGTTTTGAACTTTTCTGCTCAAAAGATTGTTTTTAAAACAATCTTTTTGTAAACTTTATACACATTTAGGAATGAAACAGCATAAATGACAATTCTACCGTGAATAAACAAACTTGAAATGTTAGAATAAATTCTAAGTGGGAATAAAAATCTGTCAATACGAGGAAGCTATCCCAAAAGTCTAACTTGTGTTAAGAAATTTGATATAAATACGACAGATTGTCAATTTTTGCAGCCTGGTATGAAAATGTTTTTGGATGAGAATATTTTAAATATTTTAATTATTTCCTGAGTGTTCATCTAGTTTCTGGTTTGCATAGTAATTAAGTTGTGGTGAAAAAGCATCAATCTACATATACTTTTTTGACATTTTACAATGTACATGTTTCCTTACGATGTCCATTTAAAGTTTTTTTTTAAATTGTATTCAGCACTCATGAAACCTGTGATATTTCATGACTACATATGTAGTCTATAGTATACGATGAACACGTGTATGCAATAGACCTATACCCATGACAACAGTACGCAATATCGATGAAAATCAGACAGCTGAGCAAAATTATTGTTACCATCAAAGAGTATGCTATGCATAATTATAATCATAATTGATAATATCTTGACGGTCTGATCTATTCCTCCCTAAACAATCGCATTGTTACATTTATTTATAATGTTTTTATTTTCAAGAGGAAAATGTCAAGTTTGTTCATGATAAATATGTGGGGAATACCTTATTCTTCCAAACTTGTCATCTTACTTCTAAAGATATTTTGTCAAAAAAAAAAACTTTTTTGAAGAAAAAACAAAAGCAAGTGTTCTCTTTTTGTTCCTCTGAAATATGTTTTGGGGTGTGTAAAAATACTGCTGTCTGATTGGATAAAAAAATATTTACGTGTATATGATGTATATTTTTAGCAACTTTCAGTTATCGTTCTTGACTTCCATATTTGGAAATCGTTCCAGACCAGTTAAATACTTAGATTACTTTTACTGCATAATTAGTTACATCAATATGTAATACATTCATTTAACTGGTACAACTGGTGACAGAATTTGTATAATTCAGGAAAAGTAATTTATATTGAACAATGATTACATCTGCAATATATTCAATTTGTTAAATTTCAGAAAAAAATGTAATAGCAACATAAAATAACCTTAGAGCAAAACAACAGGTAAAAAATTATTAAAATTAGAATATCTAATTGTCTCAATGGTTTAGAGAAAAAAGGGGTCAGCATGGGAGAAAACCGGAGCATCCTGAGAAAACCCATGTGTCTGCAGAGGGGGACCCAATATCCTTTCACACTCAGCCACTCATATCAAAAACAGTCTTGTGTGCTTCACAGATCTGGATTTTTGCATTCTCATCTTTCTCCAAATCTTCAAGTCTTATTGTTGGAAAGGTCAATGCCCATCAGTCCTGTCTTCCAGCTGTTTCCATCAATTGATGTCTAGTTGTATCTCTGGTTTCCACATCATGGAGGGTCAACATCTATGTTTACATCCAGGTTTACCTCTTCCCAGTCTTTCCATTGATCATTTCAATGAATTCATGTCAAGCTGTAGCTGTTCAATTCCACATCTTAAAGGGTCCACATCCATTGGTATAGCCTTTTTCTTGTTTTTTTCCACCAACCCTGTTTACATGAATTAGTACAATTCCACATCTTAAAGGGTTCACATCCATTGGTATAGCCTTTTTCTTGTTTTTTTCCACCAACCCTGTTTACATGAATTAGTACAATTCCACATCTTAAAAGGTTCACATCCATTGGTATAGCCTTTTTCCTGTTTTTTCCACCAATCCTGTTTACATGAATTAGTACATTTCCATATCTTAAAGGGTTCACATCCATTGCCTTTTCCCTTGTTTTTGCACCAATTCAATGAAGTCATGTCTTGCTGTTGCTGAACATTTCCACATCTTGAAGGGTCCACATACATTGGTCTTGCCATTTCCAGGTTTTTCACCTTTGTATATAACTGTCTATAAATCCTTTTTTTTTTTTTAAGTTAAATTTCGGTCAAATTCTATGATTTTTTTTTTTTTTTTTGACATTAAAACGTGGTATTTTTGTGTTTAAAGCAGGTCAATGCTAAAGTCCTTCCAATATAAGGTTAAAAATTACAACTCATTTGAATTAAGGTAAACTGAATTATAAGCCTATGTTCCTGTCTGATGTAGCCACTCATTTCTCTATATAGTAAGGGTCACATACTTCAGTTTTACATTAATTTACTTTAAAGTTGCTTTCATCAGATTCTGTAAGGCTGTGTAAATGCTCTGTTCAACATCAAATAATTTTTTTTAATTCATTGACACTACCAAACACAGAATGAAAGCTTTCAACACAAAATGAAAAAAATACAAGACAAAAAATGTAAAATAAAAACAGTTGTAACCCAAGGAATGTATCTTACCATCTTTAAGTTGGAACTAGTCTTCTCTTAACAGTGCTTGGAACAGGGGGCTACATCACACCGCAACTCTACAGTAGAATTGAGACAAGTCATCAAGAGAGATCATAGTTTCTATTAAATGAGATGAGCTAGAAAAAAAAACAAAACAACACCTTTTGAAATTGACACCAGCCTAACCCCTGACCTATTAATACCAAAGGTAAAATGCTCAAACAAGTGTGTTAAGACTAAAAGTAACCAGAAGTCTCTGTCAAGACTGTAGCTCTACTGGTTTGTACTTTAAACAAAGGAAGAAAAAAGTGGCAGTTGGGACTTGAAACTTTACAACAGCAATGAATAGAATAATGATCATGTTTCTCAGTGTATACTACTTGCATGCCACTTTACACTATAGTCAGACTAAAACTGTATTTATAATTGCATTTTTAAAGTATTTCACAAAAATTTCTATTTTCAGTAACCAAAGCAACATCGTTCATCTAAATCAAAAACCAACCCAATAATGTATCTTAGTGTAGTCCTTCTTGTGTGCCAAGTTATATTGAATCAGACCAAAACTGTAGGAGGAGTAGCATTTCAAAAGTATTTCACAGAAATGTCTATTTTTAGTATCCATGACAACACTGTTTATTGAAATAAAAAACCTATTAACAGAATTATGTATCTTAGTGTAGTCTACTTGTGTGCCAAGTTATACTGAAATCAGACCAAAACTGTAGGAGGAGTAGCATTTTAAAAAAAAATGTTTACAGACAGACAGACAGAGGATGCATTACTTTCCCATAAGCTCTTCTGGTCTCTGACCAGTAGAGCTAAAAATGAAACCAGAGGCCCATGGGCCACATCACTCACCTGAGCACATCAGTTAGGAAAGAGCACAAATCAGATCAGTATTGAAAAGTTTACCAGAGGTTGGGGGGGGGGGCTTGAATTTTTTACTACTTGGGGATGTCTCCAAATTAATACAACAAATAACGATGCTGTTCTTGAAAAAAAATTATATTTTTAAAGATTTTCTTCCTATTTATTTGTAAAAATTTGATTCCCTTCTTTACCCAAGAGGTCATGATTTGAACAGACTGAAATCTTTACTTCTTGAGGATGCTCACATGTAAATACGACTAGTTTCTTATGTAAAACTTTGATCTCTGTTTGTGGTCCCACAGGGGGTTATGATTTGAAAAAACTTGAATCTACACAACCAGAGAGGATGTTTCATATAAATATCACTAATCATGGCTTTCCTATTCTTGAGAAGATTTTTAAAGATTTTTTTCTATGTATTTCCATGCAAAACTTTGATCAGCAATTGTGGCTATTATAGGTTATTACTATTTTAAGGATTTTTTAAATACAAGTTTGTATCATCTGTCTTTAAATGACTTCACTACCTGAGAATGTTATTGAGAGAATTTTTAAAATGATTTTTCATATATATTGACCAACATAAAATTTTGATCATCCATTGTGGCCCTAACCTACATATACCCCTTGGGTTCATGATTTGAACAAACTGGAATCACTACCCAAGGATGATTCCATATCATTGTGGCTTTGTTGTTCTTGAAATTTATAAAGAAAGATTTCACATATAAATTCCTAGGCATATTTTTGATCCCACATAGTTGTCCCATCCTATCCCTGGGATCTTGATTTGAAAAAAATTTAAATCTACACTAAGTAAAGATGATTTCACATCAGTGTAACCTTTACTGTCTCCATGGTTCTTGAAAATTAAAGTAAAAAAAGTAAAAAAAAGAGTAAAAAAAATCTTTAGATCATTTTTAAATGATGTAATTAATTTACACTTATGTAATAATCTTCCCTTGGAAGAGGGCATGGGCCTTCATTTATAAACTTGAATCCCATTTACCCAAAGATACTCTGTGCCAAGTTTGTCTGACTTTGGCCCAGTAGTTCTAAAGATATACCGGTAAATGTGAAAGTTTACAACAAAGAAGACGAAGACAGACAATGGACAAAGGTTCACCTCTATTTTAATAGGGATAAATAGCCAACACTTATATTAATTGGGTCCCCTACTAAATTTGGGTTGTGATCAGTTTTCTCTACTAAGATAGATACCAAAAGAAGGATATGGAGATAATGAACAGAATTCAATCTCAAAGTCCATAAAACAATACAAAATAAGAGCAGAGAAAACACGGACCCCCGAAACATCAGAGGGGGGATTAGGTGCCATGGAGGAGTGAGCATCCCCTGCCGACCGGTCACACCTGCCGTGTGCTCCTTATCCTGATCAGGAAAAATGGAAAATATCTGTCGTCAATTCAGTGTATAAATAATGGACTAACAATTGGTATGAAAAACGTCAGTCAGCATTTGACTCAATGATAAATTGTATTTGCTGACAAGGTCATTGTATCGACCATTGAACTTACGAAATGATGACTTTAAATGAGACTGCTGATATTTTTGTTTCATCAACTTGCTTGTCAGTAATATACCTCATTTTAGAAATTGTTCATACGTAGAGCATGCTCTTGCGTATCGAATCAACTGAGATATATATACTCCGTATGCAGGTGATGAAGGTATATTGCTGCATAAGTAAGGGAAGTTGATGATAGAAAAGTTAAAGTCATCACGTTTATCATATAGCTTGGTTGTTTGATTAAGATTAGTGTCCTTTTCAAGTAAAATATCCAAGTATGAAGCAGAAGTGTCGCACTCTGTGGTATCTTTTATCTCAAGCTCACCAAGATATATCGTATCGATGTAGGAATGGAAATTACCATTATTGACAATACGTCATCAATATATCTAAATGTCGAGTTGAAGGCCACAGCAAGTGTTTTCTTCTTTTCACGCATAAGATTTTGCATAAATTCTGCTTCATATGAATATAAAAATAAGTCTGCTAATAACTGAGTGCATTTTGTACCCATGAGAATTCCAATAGATTGTTAGAATACCTGGTTTCCAAAAACCACATAGTTATTGTCAATCAGAAACTCAAGCATCTTCTTGATGTTAACTTCAGATAAAGGCTATCAAGATTCATCTTCCTGTGCGCCCTTGCGAACTTAGCCTGGGACCAAAAGCTGCCCAGTATCCGTCTGCTTCCACGTGGAGGCATCGCATAGGACTTATTGTGGAGAGGCTATGTACTGGCAGGGGAAGACATAAAAATTCCCTCCCTTTTCGCATTGCTGCTAGCCAGCGGTGATGGCTGAAAGCGAGAGGTGACAAGCACACAGACACTAACACCAACACACTAGACGCGTCACACAACATTAAGCAGACTGTTAGTAGTTTTAGTTTGTTAGGATGATTTGTTACTGGTTGGTTACGATGATTTGTTGGAAGTTTGTTAGGATGATTTGTTGGAAGTTTGTTAGAGTTATTCGTTGGAAGTTTGTTAGAGTTATTTGTTGTACGTGTTAGAGTTATTTGATGGAAGATTGTTAGAGTTATTTGTTGGAAGTTTGTTAAAGTGGTTTGTTAGAGGTGTTAGATCACTGGATCCTCTGCTGGGCTGGGCTGGGCTCAGGTGGGCTCTGCTGATAGCTGCACATCCTGTCAAGTAGAAGTCAAGAGGTGAAATGCTGATAAGATCATTTACAAAGGTAAAGATCATGAAAGGCTGCAAGATGTACAGTGTGAATCTTACCTCATATTCCCTTCTTGACTGCTGTGCAGTCGCAGTCGATCCTTGCTCCCCAGAATTCTGCTGAACATCTCAGTGGGATCGATGCTCCTGAAAACAAAGAAAATCAGGAGGTCAAAAGAAGAATAATAGCTGCTCTGATCAAGTTATAATGCAAAACAGGGATCCAGAAGTTCTACAAAAACAGCCCTTTACTCACCGCCTTGGCAAATGTAAGCCGCTAGACAAAGCTGGGCAATGGGCTCCTTCCTCTTCATCTGTGGCTGGCTGGCTGCGTGCTCCTGCGTTGTACCACGTCCGAGTGCCTGAAAATATACAACTGAGACGAGATTAGTAAAAATTCAAAACAATGAAACAAAGCACACAAATTCAAGGAAATTACAACAAAATCAATGTTAAGGGGTAGGGGATGGTTAGTTGTGTTAGATTAGGAAAGTGCTAAGAAGATAGAGGAGAGAAAGAAGGAAAGAAATGAATTTAAAATGCTTCTCTGTTAGGCTGCCTGGTTGCGGCATTGGATCCTCTGGGGGGATGGGCTGGCTGGTGTGGGCTGCGCTGGATCCTGGGCTGGGCTGCGAAGGGCTGGGCTGGGCTCTGCTGCTTTCTGCGCATCCTGTCAATTGCAAGTCAAGAGGTCAAATGCTGATACGGTCAAGATCATTTGGCAAGGTCAAGGTCACAAAAGGCTGCAAGATATACACTGTGAATCTTACCTCCTCTTCTCTGCTTGACTGCTGTTGGGATCCTCCCGGGTCAGCATACATCCCCTCTTCTGCTAACAAAGCAAAATCAAGACATCAAAACAACTTCTTACAGTTAACAAAAGTTCAGCGAGTGTAAGGAGCAAAGTTATGATACCTTTCAACACAAACACATTGTAAGGAAAGTGGACACACTGCAAGATGTGCTGCATCTTACCTGCACGTCAGGGATTGACCGCAGTGCATCACAGAACTGCTGCCTACTGGAGACGGTCTGCTCTTCTTCCATGCAACCTGGCCAGTCCAACCCCGTACCTGTTAACAAAGATGTGCACAGGTCAAACCCTAAGAAACACTCCCAAAACAAGGAAGGGGTAACAAAAGTCCACAGAATAAACCGTGTACACCGATTGCGCATCGGCTTACCTTCAACGCCGGAGTTGGCCGCAGTACGTCCCTGAACTCTGCTCACTTCCTCTGGCAGGCTGCAGTCCACTAATCATCTGGGAATCCACAACAGCCTAACCCTGACCTGTTGACACCAAATGTGGAGAAGTCAAAAAAGTGTGCCAAGACTCAAAGAGTCAAAATGAAGAAAGTTCACAGAGCGCGAGGCGTGCACAAAGTATCTTACCGTCCCTGGGTTGGCAGACTCCTCTTCAAAGGACTGGGAACAGAGGGCTGCATCACATCGCATATCTACAGTAGAAAGACAAGACCTCAAGAGATCACAGATTTAATCAAGTGAGATGAGGAAAAGATAAATCAACACCGTAAATTCAGGTTGGACACCAATCTTACCCTCTCTTCCATGTGCGGTCGCAGTCGATCGTTGCTCCCCAGAATGCTGCTGAACCTCTCGGTGGGATCGACGCTCCTGAAAACACAGAAAATCAGGAGGTCAAAAGAAAAGCAATAGCTGCTCTGATCAAGTTATAATGCAAAACAGGGATCCAGATGTGCTACAAAAGCAGCCCTTTACTCACCGCCTTGGCAAATGTAAGCCGCTAGACAAAGCTGGGCAATGGGCTCCTTCCTCTTCATCTGTGGCTGGCTGGCTGGGCAATGGGCTGGCTGGCTGGGTGCTCCCGCGTTGTACCACGTCCGAGTGCCTGAAAATATACAACTGAGACGAGATTAGTAAAAATTCAAAACAATGAAACAAAGCACACAAATTCAAGGAAATTACAACAAAATCAATGTTAAGGGGTAGGGGATGGTTAGTTGTGTTAGATTAGGAAAGTGCTAAGAAGATAGAGAAGAGACAGAAGGAAAGAAATAAATTCAAAATGCTTCTCTGTTAGGCTGCCTGGTAGCGGCACTGGATCCTCTGGGGGGATGGGCTGGCTGGTGTGGGCTGCGCTGGATCCTGGGCTGGGCTGCGAAGGGCTGGGCTGGGCTCTGCTGCTTGCTGCGCATCCTGTCAATTGCAAATCAAGAGGTCAAATGCTGATACGATCAACATCATTTGGCAAGGTCAAGATCACAAAAGGCTGCAAGATATACACTGTGAATCTTACCTCCTCTTCTCTGCTTGACTGCTGTTGGGATCCTCCCGGGTCAGCATACATCTCCACTTCTGCTAACAAAGCAAAATCAAGACATCAAAACAACTTCTTACAGTTAACAAAAGTTCAGCGAGTGTAAGGAGCAAAGTTATGATACCTTTCAACACAAACACATTGTAAGGAAAGTGGACACACTGCAAGATGTGCTGCATCTTACCTGCACGTCAGGGATTGACCGCAGTGCATCACAGAACTGCTGCCTACTGGAGACGGTCTGCTCTTCTTCCATGCAACCTGGCCAGTCCAACCCCGTACCTGTTAACAAAGATGTGCACAGGTCAAACCCTAAGAAACACTCCCAAAACAAGGAAGGGGTAACAAAAGTCCACAGAATAAACCGTGTACACCGATTGCGCATCGGCTTACCTTCAACGCCGGAGTTGGCCGCAGTACGTCCCTGAACTCTGCTCACTTCCTCTGGCAGGCTGCAGACCACTAGTCATCTGGGAATCCACAACAGCCCAACCCTGACCTGTTGACACCAAATGTGGAGAAGTCAAAAAAGTGTGCCAAGACTCAAAGAGTCAAAATGAAGAAAGTTCACAGAGCGCGAGGCGTGCACAAAGTATCTTACCGTCCCTGGGTTGGCAGACTCCTCTTCAAAGGACTGGGAACAGAGGGCTGCATCACATCGCATATCTACAGTAGAAAGACAAGACCTCAAGAGATCACAGATTTAATCAAGTGAGATGAGGAAAAGATAAATCAACACCGTAAATTCAGGTTGGACACCAATCTTACCCTCTCTTCCATGTGCGGTCGCAGTCGATCGTTGCTCCCCAGAATGCTGCTGAACCTCTCGGTGGGATCGACGCTCCTGAAAACACAGAAAATCAGGAGGTCAAAAGAAAAGCAATAGCTGCTCTGATCAAGTTATAATGCAAAACAGGGATCCAGATGTGCTACAAAAGCAGCCCTTTACTCACCGCCTTGGCAAATGTAAGCCGCTAGACAAAGCTGGGCAATGGGCTCCTTCCTCTTCATCTGTGGCTGGCTGGCTGGGATGGGGCTGGCTGAGTGCTCCCGCGTTGTACCACGTCCGAGTGCCTGAAAATATACAACTGAGACGAGATTAGTAAAAATTCAAAACAATGAAACAAAGCACACAAATTCAAGGAAATTACAACAAAATCAATGTTAAGGGGTAGGGGATGGTTAGTTGTGTTAGATTAGGAAAGTGCTAAGAAGATAGAGAAGAGACAGAAGGAAAGAAATAAATTCAAAATGCTTCTCTGTTAGGCTGCCTGGTAGCGGCACTGGATCCTCTGGGGGGATGGGCTGGCTGGTGTGGGCTGCGCTGGATCCTGGGCTGGGCTGCGAAGGGCTGGGCTGGGCTCTGCTGCTTGCTGCGCATCCTGTCAATTGCAAATCAAGAGGTCAAATGCTGATACAGTCAACATCATTTGGCAAGGTCAAGATCACAAAAGGCTGCAAGATATACAGTGTGAAACTTACCTCCTCTTCTCTCCTTGCGTGCTGTTGGGATCCTCCCGGGTCAGCATACACCCCCTCTTCTGCTAACAAATCAAAATCAAGACATCAAAACAACTTCTTACAGTTAACAAAATTTCAGCGAGTGTAAGGAGCAAAGTTATGATACCTTTCAACACAAACACATAGTAAGGAAAGTGGACACACTGCAAGATGTGCTGCATCTTACCTGCACGTCAGGGATTGACCGCAGTGCATCACAGAACTGCTGCGCTACTGGAGACGGTCTGCTCTTCTTCCATGCAACCTGGCCAGTCCAACCCCGTACCTGTTAACAAAGATGTGCACAGGTCAAGCCCTAAGAAACACTCCCAAAACAAGGAAGGGGTAACAGAATAAACCGTGTACACCGATTGCGCATCGGCTTACCTTCAACGCCGGAGTTGGCCGCAGTACGTCCCTGAACTCTGCTCACTTCCTCTGGCAGGCTGCAGTCCACTAATCATCTGGGAATCCACAACAGCCAAACCCTGACCTGTCGACACCAAAGGTGGAGAAGTCAAAAAAAGTGTGCCAAGACTGAAAGAGTCAAAATGAAGAAAGTTCACAGAGCGCGAGGCGTGCACAAAGTATCTTACCGTCCCTGGGTTGGCAGACTCCTCTTCAAAGGACTGGGAACAGAGGGCTGCATCACATCGCATATCTACAGTAGAAAGACAAGACCTCAAGAGATCACAGATTTAATCAAGTGAGATGAGGAAAAGATCAATCAACACCGTAAATTCAGGGTGGACACGAATCTTACCCTCTCTTCCATGTGCGGTCGCAGTCGATCCTTGTTCCCCAGAATGCTGCTGAACCTCTCGGTGGGATCGACGCTCCTGAAAACACAAAAAATCAGGAGGTCAAAAGAAAAGCAATAGCTGCTCTGATCAAGTTATAATGCAAAACAGGGATCCAGATGTGCTACAAAAGCAGCCCTTTACTCACCGCCTTGGCAAATGTAAGCCGCTAGACAAAGCTGGGCAATGGGCTCCTTCCTCTTCATCTGTGGCTGGCTGGCTGGAGGCTGGCTGAGTGCTCCCGCGTTGTACCACGTCCGAGTGCCTGAAAATATACAACTGAGACGAGATTAGTAAAAATTCAAAACAATGAAACAAAGCACACAAATTCAAGGAAATTACAACAAAATCAATGTTAAGGGGTAGGGGATGGTTAGTTGTGTTAGATTAGGAAAGTGCTAAGAAGATAGAGAAGAGACAGAAGGAAAGAAATAAATTCAAAATGCTTCTCTGTTAGGCTGCCTGGTCGCGGCACTGGATCTCCGGGTGGGATGGGCTGGCTGGTGTGGGCTGCGCTGGATCCGGGGCTGGGCTGCGAAGGGCTGGGCTGGGCTCTGCTGCTTGCTGCGCATCCTGTCAATTGCAAGTCAAGAGGTCAAATGCTGATACGGTCAACATCATTTGGCAAGGTCAAAGTCACAAAAGGCTGCAAGACATACACTGTGAATCTTACCTCCTCTTCTCTGCTTGACTGCTGTTGGGATCCTCCCGGGTCAGCATACATCTCCACTTCTGCTAACAAAGCAAAATCAAGACATCAAAACAACTTCTTCCAGTTAACAAAATTTCAGCGAGTGTTAAGAGCAAAGTTATGATATCTTTCATCACAAACACATTGTAAAGATAGTGGACACACTGCAAGATGTGCTGCATCTTACCTGCACGTCAGGGATTAACCGCAGTGCATCACAGGTGACGGTCTGCTCTTCTTCCACGCAACCAGGCCAGTCCAACCCCGTACCTGTTAACAAAGATGTCCACAGGTCAAACCCTAAGAAACACTCCCAAAACAAGGAAGGGGTAACAAAATCCACAGAATAAACCGTGTACACCGATTGCGCATCGGCTTACCTTCAACGCCGGAGTTGGCCGCAGTACGTCCCTGAACTCTGCATACTTCCCCTGGCAGGTTGCAGTCCGCTAATCATCTGGGAATCCACAACAGCCAAACCCCGACCTGTTGACACCAAAGGTGGAGAAGTCAAAAAAGTGTGCCAAGACTCAAAGAGTCAAAATGAAGAAAGTTCACAGAGCGCGAGGCGTGCACAAAGTATCTTACCGTCCCTGGGTTGGCAGACTCCTCTTCAAAGGACTGGGAACAGAGGGCTGCATCACATCGCATATCTACAGTAGAAAGACAAGACATCAAGAGATCACAGATTTAATCAAGTGAGATGAGGAAAAGATCAATCAACACCGTAAATTCAGGGTGGACACGAATCTTACCCTCTCTTCCATGTGCGGTCGCAGTCGATCCTTGTTCCCCAGAATGCTGCTGAACCTCTCGGTGGGATCGACGCTCCTGAAAACACAAAAAATCAGGAGGTCAAAAGAAAAGCAATAGCTGCTCTGATCAAGTTATAATGCAAAACAGGGATCCAGATGTGTGCTACAAAAGCAGCCCTTTACTCACCGCCTTGGCAAATGTAAGCCGCTAGACAAAGCTGGGCAATGGGCTCCTTCCTCTTCATCTGTGGCTGGCTGGCTGGAGGCTGGCTGAGTGCTCCCGCGTTGTACCACGTCCGAGTGCCTGAAAATATACAACTGAGACGAGATTAGTAAAAATTCAAAACAATGAAACAAAGCACACAAATTCAAGGAAATTACAACAAAATCAATGTTAAGGGGTAGGGGATGGTTAGTTGTGTTAGATTAGGAAAGTGCTAAGAAGATAGAGAAGAGAGAGAAGGAAAGAAATAAATTCAAAATGCTTCTCTGTTAGGCTGCCTGGTCGCGGCACTGGATCTCCTGGTGGGATGGGCTGGCTGGTGTGGGCTGCGCTGGATCCGGGGCTGGGCTGCGAAGGGCTGGGCTGGGCTCTGCTGCTTTCTGCGCATCCTGTCAATTGCAAGTCAAGAGGTCAAATGCTGATACGGTCAAGATCATTTGGCAAGGTCAAGGTCACAAAAGGCTGCAAGATATACACTGTGAATCTTACCTCCTCTTCCCTGCTTGACTGCTGTTGGGATCCTCCCAAAAGGGTCAGCATACATCCTCTCCTCTTCTGCTAACAAAGCAAAATCAAGACATCAAAACAACTTCTTACAGTTAACAACTTCTTACAGTTAACAACATTTCAGCAAGTGTAAAGAGCAAAGTTATGATATCTTTCATCACAAACACATTGTAAAGATAGTGGACACACTGCAAGATGTGCTGCATCTTACCTGCACGTCAGGGATTGACCGCAGTGCATCACAGAACTGCTGCTACTGGTGACGGTCTGCTCTTCTTCCACGCAACCAGGCCAGTCCAACCCCGTACCTGTTAACAAAGATGTCCACAGGTCAAACCCTAAGAAACACTCCCAAAACAAGGAAGGGGTAACAAAATCCACAGAATAAACCGTGTACACCGATTGCGCATCGGCTTACCTTCAACGCCGGAGTTGGCCGCAGTACGTCCCTGAACTCTGCATACTTCCCCTGGCAGGTTGCAGTCCGCTAATCATCTGGGAATCCACAACAGCCAAACCCCGACCTGTTGACACCAAAGGTGGAGAAGTCAAAAAAGTGTGCCAAGACTCAAAGAGTCAAAATGAAGAAAGTTCACAGAGCGCGAGGCGTGCACAAAGTATCTTACCGTCCCTGGGTTGGCAGACTCCTCTTCAAAGGACTGGGAACAGAGGGCTGCATCACATCGCATATCTACAGTAGAAAGACAAGACGTCAAGAGATCACAGATTTAATCAAGTGAGATGAGGAAAAGATCAATCAACACCGTAAATTCAGGGTGGACACGAATCTTACCCTCTCTTCCATGTGCGGTCGCAGTCGATCCTTGTTCCCCAGAATGCTGCTGAACCTCTCGGTGGGATCGACGCTCCTGAAAACACAAAAAATCAGGAGGTCAAAAGAAAAGCAATAGCTGCTCTGATCAAGTTATAATGCAAAACAGGGATCCAGATGTGCTACAAAAGCAGCCCTTTACTCACCGCCTTGGCAAATGTAAGCCGCTAGACAAAGCTGGGCAATGGGCTCCTTCCTCTTCATCTGTGGCTGGCTGGCTGGAGGCTGGCTGAGTGCTCCCGCGTTGTACCACGTCCGAGTGCCTGAAAATATACAACTGAGACGAGATTAGTAAAAATTCAAAACAATGAAACAAAGCACACAAATTCAAGGAAATTACAACAAAATCAATGTTAAGGGGTAGGGGATGGTTAGTTGTGTTAGATTAGGAAAGTGCTAAGAAGATAGAGAAGAGAGAGAAGGAAAGAAATAAATTCAAAATGCTTCTCTGTTAGGCTGCCTGGTCGCGGCACTGGATCTCCTGGTGGGGATGGGCTGGCTGGTGTGGGCTGCGCTGGATCCGGGGCTGGGCTGCGAAGGGCTGGGCTGGGCTCTGCTGCTTGCTGCGCATCCTGTCAATTGCAAGTCAAGAGGTCAAATGCTGATACGGTCAACATCATTTGGCAAGGTCAAGATCACAAAAGGCGGCCAGATATACACAGTGAATCTTACCTCCTCTTCCCTGCTTGACTGCTGTTGGGATCCTCTCGAGTCAGCATACACCTCTGCTGCTAAGAAAGCAAAATCAAGACATCAAAACAACTTCTTACAGTTAACAAAATTTCAGCGAGTGTAAAGAGCAAAGTTATGATATCTTTCATCACAAACACATTGTAAAGATAGTGGACACACTGCAAGATGTGCTGCATCTTACCTGCACGTCAGGGATTGACCGCAGTGCATCACAGAACTGCTGCTACTGGTGACGGTCTGCTCTTCTTCCACGCAACCAGGCCAGTCCAACCCCGTACCTGTTAACAAAGATGTCCACAGGTCAAACCCTAAGAAACACTCTCAAAACAAGGAAGGGGTAACAAAATCCACAGAATAAACCGTGTACACCGATTGCGCATCGGCTTACCTTCAACGCCGGAGTTGGCCGCAGTACGTCCCTGAACTCTGCATACTTCCCCTGGCAGGTTGCAGTCCGCTAATCATCTGGGAATCCACAACAGCCAAACCCCGACCTGTTGACACCAAAGGTGGAGAAGTCAAAAAAGTGTGCCAAGACTCAAAGAGTCAAAATGAAGAAAGTTCACAGAGCGCGTGGCGTGCACAAAGTATCTTACCGTCCCTGGGTTGGCACACTCCTCTTGAAAGGACTGGGAACAGAGGGCTGCATCACATCGCATATCTACAGTAGAAAGACAAGACGTCAAGAGATCACAGATTTAATCAAGTGAGATGAGGAAAAGATCAATCAACACCGTAAATTCAGGGTGGACACGAATCTTACCCTCTCTTCCATGTGCGGTCGCAGTCGATCCTTGTTCCCCAGAATGCTGCTGAACCTCTCGGTGGGATCGACGCTCCTGAAAACACAAAAAATCAGGAGGTCAAAAGAAAAGCAATAGCTGCTCTGATCAAGTTATAATGCAAAACAGGGAATAATGCAAAACAGGGATCCAGATGTGCTACAAAAGCAGCCCTTTACTCACCGCCTTGGCAAATGTAAGCCGCTAGACAAAGCTGGGCAATGGGCTCCTTCCTCTTCATCTGTGGCTGGCTGGCTGGAGGCTGGCTGAGTGCTCCCGCGTTGTACCACGTCCGAGTGCCTGAAAATATACAACTGAGACGAGATTAGTAAAAATTCAAAACAATGAAACAAAGCACACAAATTCAAGGAAATTACAACAAAATCAATGTTAAGGGGTAGGGGATGGTTAGTTGTGTTAGATTAGGAAAGTGCTAAGAAGATAGAGAAGAGAGAGAAGGAAAGAAATAAATTCAAAATGCTTCTCTGTTAGGCTGCCTGGTCGCGGCACTGGATCTCCTGGTGGGATGGGCTGGCTGGTGTGGGCTGCGCTGGATCCGGGGCTGGGCTGCGAAGGGCTGGGCTGGGCTCTGCTGCTTGCTGCGCATCCTGTCAATTGCAAGTCAAGAGGTCAAATGCTGATACGGTCAACATCATTTGGCAAGGTCAAGATCACAAAAGGCGGCCAGATATACACAGTGAATCTTACCTCCTCTTCCCTGCTTGACTGCTGTTGGGATCCTCATCTCCACTTCTGCTAACAAAACAAAATCAAGACATCAAAACAACTTCTTCCAGTTAACAAAATTTCAGCGAGTGTAAAGAGCAAAGTTATGATATCTTTCATCACAAACACATTGTAAAGATAGTGGACACACTGCAAGATGTGCTGCATCTTACCTGCACGTCAGGGATTGACCGCAGTGCATCACAGAACTGCTGCTACTGGTGACGGTCTGATCTTTCCACGCAACCAGGCCAGTCCAACCCCGTACCTGTTAACAAAGATGTCCACAGGTCAAACCCTAAGAAACACTCTCAAAACAAGGAAGGGGTAACAAAATCCACAGAATAAACCGTGTACACCGATTGCGCATCGGCTTACCTTCAACGCCGGAGTTGGCCGCAGTACGTCCCTGAACTCTGCATACTTCCTCTGGCAGGCTGCAGTCCGCTAATCATCTGGGAATCCACAACAGCCAAACCCTGACCTGTCGACACCAAAGGTGGAGAAGTCAAAAAAGTGTGCCAAGACTCAAAGAGTCAAAATGAAGAAAGTTCACAGAGCGCGAGGCGTGCACAAAGTATCTTACCGTCCCTGGGTTGGCAGACTCCTCTTCAAAGGACTGGGAACAGAGGGCTGCATCACATCGCATATCTACAGTAGAAAGACAAGACATCAAGAGATCACAGATTTAATCAAGTGAGATGAGGAAAAGATCAATCAACACCGTAAATTCAGGGTGGACACGAATCTTACCCTCTCTTCCATGTGCGGTCGCAGTCGATCCTTGTTCCCCAGAATGCTGCTGAACCTCTCGGTGGGATCGACGCTCCTAAAAACACAAAAAATCAGGAGGTCAAAAGAAAAGCAATAGCTGCTCTGATCAAGTTATAATGCAAAACAGGGAATAATGCAAAACAGGGATCCAGATGTGCTACAAAAGCAGCCCTTTACTCACCGCCTTGGCAAATGTAAGCCGCTAGACAAAACTGGGCAATGGGCTCCTTCCTCTTCATCTGTGGCTGGCTGGCTGGAGGCTGGCTGAGTGCTCCCGCGTTGTACCACGTCCGGGTGCCTGAAAATATACAACTGAGACGAGATTAGTAAAAATTCAAAACAATGAAACAAAGCACACAAATTCGAGGAAATTACAACAAAATCAATGTTAAGGGGTAGGGGATGGTTAGTTGTGTTAGATTAGGAAAGTGCTAAGAAGATAGAGAAGAGAGAGAAGGAAAGATAAATTCAAAATGCTTCTCTGTTAGGCTGCCTGGTCGCGGCACTGGATCTCCTGGTGGGGATGGGCTGGCTGGTGTGGGCTGCGCTGGATCCGGGGCTGGGCTGCGAAGGGCTGGGCTGGGCTCTGCTGCTTGCTGCGCATCCTGTCAATTGCAAGTCAAGAGGTCAAATGCTGATACGGTCAACATCATTTGGCGAGGTCAAGATCACAAAAGGCTGCAAGATATACACAGTGAATCTTACCTCCTCTTCCCTGCTTGACTGCTGTTGGGATCCTCTCGGGTCAGCATACACCTCTGCTGCTAACAAAGCAAAATCAAGACATCAAAACAACTTCTTACAGTTAACAAAATTTCAGCGAGTGTAAAGAGCAAAGTTATGATATCTTTCATCACAAACACATTGTAAAGATAGTGGACACACTGCCAAGATGTGCTGCATCTTACCTGCACGTCAGGGATTGACCGCAGTGCATCACAGAACTGCTGCTACTGGTGACGGTCTGCTCTTCTTCCACGCAACCAGGCCAGTCCAACCCCGTACCTGTTAACAAAGATGTCCACAGGTCAAACCCTAAGAAACACTCTCAAAACAAGGAAGGGGTAACAAAATCCACAGAATAAACCGTGTACACCGATTGCGCATCGGCTTACCTTCAACGCCGGAGTTGGCCGCAGTACGTCCCTGAACTCTGCATACTTCCCCTGGCAGGTTGCAGTCCGCTAATCATCTGGGAATTTTCTAGTCAGTCTCAGGGGGATCACACATGTACTTTATATGCACCTATGTACGTTTTATCCTGTTTTGTTTTATATCAGGTGATCGTCCTTAATGGTTTGATATACATTTTACTTTATACCATTCAATTAAATGACATAATTGACAAAACTGCATATCGTGCATGTTTGATTGTTTTTTTCTGCACTAATAGGGTGATATTTCTCATAGGAGGCATAAATGTTTATTTTTTCACCAATTTCAAAGCGATTTACAACTGAAACATAATTTTTTTTTTTATGTATTTATGTTCAATTTATTTGCCTAAAACATAAGAAAAGATACAAGGAACATTTAATCATATCGAAGACTATTTCAAAATATGGTGATGTTTGAAAGCCCAATTTCAGTGGAAAATACTGTCTCCCCCTCTCCCTTTTTCAAGAGCTGGAAATAGGGATAATTTACTATTTAGCGCTGGTATTAAAACAATTCATCAATTACCATTGAACTGTTCTTTGTATTAAACAACGATTGTAAGGCCAAATTGCCATATTAATATTAATCAATTAAATGGGTGCAAAATGTAGGCAGGAATTGAGAGTTAGCGTGCTTATTTCTTCCTTCACTTTGAAAAATATTTTTTAAGGAAAAAGGCTGAAGCCCTTATGTATGACCAACAAAAGCTGAATAATATATGAAATATAGAAAATAGCATACGTTTAGTTCCTTATCACTAATTAGTTCACCCATTTATTGAAGGCATGCTTGAAATTTATTATCAAAGCATTAAAAAAAAAAATCGAACTTTTTCATAGTGTATACGTACATGCAGTACAGTAGCAACAACGGACCGATGACAATGGTATCTTGTCATGACAAATTATAATAAATCAAAAGTTTCCATTTTAATTTGTTTTATTTTTTCTAAAGCTTACATGTCTTGATACTGATTGCACCAATTGGTATATATATAATATTCTCTTTACAAAAAATATGGTTTGATTTGAACATATTTTATTGCACTAAATATATACAATGGGATTAAATTGGGTACAAGTTCTAACTAGAACCGTCCAAGCGGGACAAAATATCCATAAGAAAGATATGTATAAAACATGAATTATGAAATTGTTCTTCCAGTGACCTTGAAGTTCCCCAAATGACCTTGGGTCAAGGTCAGGACACACCTTTGGGTCATGGGCAATCTTTGTGTGAAATGAGATCCTACCAAGTTTATCCATATGATAAGAAAGATATGGACCGAACACGAATTCTGACATTTTTCTTCCAGTGACCTTGAAGTTCCCCAAATGACCTTGGGTCAAGGTCATGACACACCTTTGGGTCATGGGCAATCTTTGTGTGAAATGAGAACCTAATTTTTCTTCGGACACGAATTGAAATTTTTCTTCAGTGTCCTTGAAGTTCCCCAGTCATGGGCAATCTTTGTGTGGAGTAGTAGATTCTAATGTCCCTCCGTAAGAAAGATATGGACTGGACACGATTGCACAGACAGACGGACAGACAGACAGATGGACAAGATGATTCCTATAAACCCCCCAAACTTTGTTTGTGGGGGGTATCAAAACTTAAATCGCCCTCTCCCTACATGAGATATTATAACAGGATGAATTAGAAGTGTTCAACAGTTTGTACAAAATACATTACTAGTAAATTAAATTATAACTCTCATTGTAGACATATATATAATGCTACATTATTGTTTATACAAATAATTATAAAAATGAGTACAATCAATTAAAGCTGAACACGACTCGTAAATAGGCATACGCCATTTTCGATAGCATTATCTACGATACATCAATACTAGGGTATACTCGTCGCATTCGTTACACCTGACTGCTTTATTGTCACGGGTATCGGCGTGGAATGGCGACACGTGTTCGTGCTGGTTATCTTGCATTGCCTTTGTTTATATTCTATTGCAGTTACGTACATCTGCGTTGTTTGTATACTGCACTGACTTATACAACTATAATTGTAAACTTATTTGGTATCTTATTTTCCTGCATTAGACGAAGTATTACGTTATCATTCTCGCTAGCGAGCTCTGTATAGCATACGTCCGTCTTCACCGGTGTCGACTGATTACACTGAACAGTGACCAAGTTTTGCCCTATTTATAGCAGTCTGCAGAGAAGCCAGACTGGGAACAAAAATGGCGGACAGATTCCTTTTACGAATCGTGTTCAGCTTTAAGGTACATTGATACTCTGATAAGAGGGATAACTCTTAATGACATAAATGTCTCTTATTCCTTTATAAATTTGCCAAATTGATGTGTCTTTTTTGTCCAGTTTTGCCCCGCAAGCTATCTTATACTTGTTTGTATTTTACTTATAAAATACTTTTCTTTTGGAAAATCATTAAGGTTCAAGCAACATTTTATATGCATGAGCAGAGGGTTTATGAACCTTAAATCTACCAGAATGCTGAATATAAGAATGTACAATAGAAAATAGATATTCATTTTCAGCAATACTGAGTGATGTATCCCCCCAGAGTAAAGTCTGAATATCAACAATATGGACTTTATTAAATTTCAAGAACTTACAGAAAAACTCTTTCCTGGCCTTGTTGTAGTTTGGGCACAAGAAAAATTAATGATGTGTATCTTCTACCTTACCGCAGGAGCATAGTGGACTAGATATTATATTACATCTATAAAGATCAGCATTTAGCACGCAGTTGTGCCGAAGCCGTGTATGCAGTATATTGATGTGTGTTTTACCAAAATTAAAATAAGGCGAAGCTTCTGTAATTTTTTGCTTAATTTTACTTTTGAAAGCAGACACAGAGCTCGAAAGTCTAGTATTTAGCGATAAGGAATTCCACTCATTTATTACAGTTGGTACAAATGATGATTTTTAAGTTTGCAATTTACATACAGGTATACTATAATTTTGTGAGTTTCTTGTTGTATATGTAGAAGCATTACATTGCATATCTGGTATAATCTCAGATGGTACTAAATCACTGTGAATTTTATACATGGTATTTAATCTTTGGATCTTACGTCTGTCGCTGAGTGGTTCCCAGCCTGTTTCAAAATACAGTCTCTAGAGGCAATCATAGTTAGTCCAGTAACAATCCGAGCTGCGTGTAGTTGCAATTTTTCTAATTTTTCAGAATCGTAAGATAGACAACCACCCCATACAACTGAAGCATACTCGAGTTGGGGACAGATAAATGAAGTATACATAAGTGAAAGGCCTTTTCGATTTATTTTAAGGGGGATGTCTGGCCACCTTTAGTGCAGTAAGAACAAAATGTAAACATTTCTTCAAATGGGTAAAATACAAATCAAATTTTAAGTCCTCATGATAAAGATACAATAAATATGCATAATTGAATGCATGTTGTGCATATATATTCTATACTTTTGCAGAAAAATGCTTTTAATATGCTCCTTAGAACTGCGCAGCTACAGAATTTAGCAGAGCCTTAAAAAATCTTTTAAAAAATATGCAAAGTGTGCATTAATGTTTTCTCTACAACCATTTGTTGAGAAAATGTCTAAAATTTGCACTTTTAAATGGTAATTTCAAGTTCAAAACAAGGTACTGTTGTCTTCAAAATGAGTGTAGAGAACCATGAAAGTAGTTCATGGATAGCAGCACGTGGTCTATTTTTAGCACTGAATTTTTCTTCCAAACCTCTTTTTAATATGGGGGTACATAACAATCTTAAAAAGTAGAAGAGAATTACAATTGCAAAATGTTTCAAATAATATGAACACTTTTAAAAGAGGAATTGTGGTATAGTGTGGCTTAAAGTAAGTACATGTATTTTTATCGAAGAGTTGTTAAATAGTGTACATGTTGATATAAAAAAAAAATCTTAAACTCTTAAATGAGCACCATCAAAGTTAAAAAATAAGAGTTTTTAAGTCCGACACAGATAACTTATTTTATCTACCAGAATCTTAATTATCACCAATGAAACAAAAAGAAAATTAGACACATAAAATCAATGTGAATGACCTTGTTTTAGTATGTACTTGCTGGTATTACTGAATCAAATACACATTTACAATTTTCATCACATTGAAGCACCATTTGAAAAGGAATGAAATCATTCATAGTGGAGTAGGAGATTTACTGAATAAGTATGAAATTTTTTTCTATTTTCCCATGTTGTAAAAATTACAATTTGGCAAAGTAAAGAAAAAATCAACATAATTAAATATCTTAGACCATCTTTAAAAAGATGTTTGGTGGTCCTCCCAACTAAGAGAACAAGAGGC